AAAAAAAAAAAATAGCTGGGCATTGTGGTGGGCACCTGTAGTCCCAGCTACTTGGGAGGCTGAGGCAAGAGAATCGCCTAAGCCCAGGAGTTGGAGTTGCTGTGAGCTGTGATGCCACAGCACTCTACTGAGGGCGATAAAGTGAGACTCTCTCTAAAAATAAAAAATTACCCCAAATTCGAGAGGAGAGAGGAGAACTACCTCACTTCCTACCATATCCCCCATTTGCTGCCATCCTAGTACTGGTACAGACTCGGTACAGACTGGTACCGACTTCTCAGGGGTGAGTGCAAAGCCACTGCCCTATATGCTGAACAACTGTTTCTAATTCTCCCTCTAAGAGCCAATCTAATCCGGGAGTATGATCTCAGGCCTCTAGGGGGTTGGCTTTTCTTCTAACAGGATTCTCAAAGTGCATTGCTCTTTGCCACTTGCAGCTGAGAAGAGGCAGGAGTTGGGGGAGAAGGACGAGGACTGTGACTTACGTTGATTTCTATGCTGGGGAAGACACTGCAGTACTTGGGAGACGTTGACTTTTGACGAGTACAGATGGGGCCGAGGCACCTGGAGATTTCTAGCTTCAGTTTCTTCAGCCCATAATTTGCTACCCACTTTGGAATAAAGGAAAGAACTGTTATCTTAAGTAATTCAGGCTTAATTGAATGACTGACTTTTTTTTTTCCCCAAGGTAGTGTCTTGCTCTGCGGCTTAGGCTGCTGTGCAGTGGTGTCATCATGGTTCACTGCAGCCTCAAGCTCCTGCGCTCATGTGACCTTCCCACCTCTGCCTCCCAAAGTGCTGGGATTATAGGTGTGAGCCACAATACCTGACCTGGATTATTTAGTAAAATGTTTGGCCAGGAGTGCAAGACCAGCCTGGACAACACAATGAGATCCCATCTCTATAAAAATTTAAAGAACTAACTGGGCATGGTTGCCTGTGGTCCTAGCTACCTGGGTGGCTGAGCTAAGCAGGTTCAGAGAAATCAGAACATGGCGTCCAGGACTGGCACAATCAGAGCCAGGCTCAAGCTTTCCTTAAGTCGTTATAGGAAGACAGATATTCAATCTTCTTTATATGAACAAGAAGGGAAATTTCTGTTGCTTGCAACCAGGAAGATCTAACACCACTAAGCACTGAACACAAAATATACTTTAATCATTACCTCAGTCTCATTAGTAGATGCAATTGTCTTCATTTTAGAAACAAAGACATTGAGTGTAGCTAAGTGACTTGCCCTAGGAAGCAGCTTTCCCTGATGCAGTTTGAAAACATCAGACCCCACTACGGGGAAAGGGGAGGGGGGAGGGGAGGGGGAGGATGGGTGAAGAGAATGACATTGTGGGGATCATGCCTATAGTTTATTCTATTTGGGTACAGGTGAATTTGTCTAAAGGTTGAATATAAATGTCTTAACATAACAATTATGAGAAAGACATGATGGCTATGTTAGCCACCTGGATGAGAGTTTTCCAAACTGCATATAGAAGTAACACACTGTATCCTATGAGAGAATTAATGCACACAATTAAGATCTAATAAAAAAAAAAGAAGAAGAATAAAAAAAGAAAAAAAAAGAAAACATCAGACCCAGATTTTGAATTTAGGGCTATTTAAATCCTACCCCATCTGCCATAGTAAGCATTCTTTTCAGGTTTGTCCTTATTTCCAAGCATACCCACCTTCCTGGGAGTAATGGTTGGTGAAAGGAATTACTGTATTGCTTAAGGGGCATGTGCCCGTGCTGACTGCTTAGTACCTCTTGGCTTGAGCAAGCTGTATCCTTTCTGGGCAACTCAATAGAAGAACTAGTCCTTCTCAAGGCCCCTCCTTGAGGGTACTTCTTGTACACTGATCCTAGGAGAAACAGATAGAGGTCACTGCTATAGTTTGGATGTTTAACTCTCCAAAATCTCATATTAGAATCTGATCTGCAGTGTTAGAGGTAGGACCTACTTGGAGGTATTTGGGTAGGTTGTAGGGCAGATCCCTCATGAATTGATTAACGCCCTGGTTGGTGGAGGTAGGTGTGGGAATGAGTGAGTTCTATTAGTTTCCAGGACAGCTAGAGCCTGGCACCTGCCCACTCAGTTTCTTGCTTCCCCTCTCACCCTGTGATCTCTGTACACACCAGCTCCTCTGTCTTCCACTGTGAGTAGAAGCAGCCCAAGGCTTTCACCAGATGCCAGTCTTTTAGCCAGCACAACTATAAGCCAAATAAACCTCTCTTCTTTTAAAGATTACCCAGAGCCAGATATTCCTTTGCAGCAACTGCAAACAGACCACGACCTAGTGCCCCTCTCTCCCCTCCCCCTCCCTAGCTACTCCATTGCACAGGTCAATTTCTCTGTCAATCAAGTCAGATGTAAAATTCTTTAGGGCCCACTTGGTGAGAGGTAGAAAGGGAGGCTGTTAAGTGTTTAGGAACTGCTACCTAGCACTGAATTGTTTCAGGGATCTTCGTCCTTTACCAGCAGTCGATCAGGCTGGCTTTGGGGAGTTATCTCCACCCTCTTCCCAATCTGCCTCAAACTAAGGAAACTGCCCTTGGTGGATGCAGCCAGAGTTCCCAGGACCACAGAGGTTTCATCTTCAAAATCGACTTTCCTCATTCTCTGCCTATCTCCAAGATTGCGTGTGTCCATTTCCTTGGGCTGGGAGAACTGAGCTGTGTGAGGACAGCCTTGCTGCAGAGGCACTGCTGCCCGTGTCCTGGGACAGCAGGAGAGGTCCCAATCCCAGGGGGCATGCTGCTCGTAAATAGTTCCCACAGGGAAAAGAGCACTTGCACAGCCTCCAGCTCACCCACTTTGTTCCCTGTGTCTGTGTAGAACAATGATAGAGCTGTCTCTGCTTCCCGGGACTTGGTCTTCTTTCTCTTTTCTGTTACATCTTTCACTGGCTGGGCTGCAGCTAGAGGACATTGGGCTTCCAGTGAGTTTATGGGATAAAGCTGCCCAGCCTGGCTTAGAGACTTCTCAACTTCAGCTAGGAAGTTGGGGCTCCAGGACAGCTTTGAGGCATCTAGCTCCTCTGGTCTCATCAGCCAGAGCCAGAGCTTCCATGTACCAAGGACAGGTGTGGTGCTAAGTCCTGGCTACTCCACCCTGTTTTACTCCCACACCTCCTACCTGCAGATGAGAAAAGCAGAACTCAGAGCTGGTTAGAACCAGAGCATTGATCTTCCTATCCCACCCCAGTCTTGCAGACTCCAGAACTCAGCTCTGAGCCACTCTGCCATATCTTTGATATTACAAATAGGATATATGATTTTAGGTCCTGCCTTCTCTCCCTCATTTCACAGAGTCTTGCTTTGTCACTGAGGCTAGAGTTTAGTGGTGTCATCATAGCTCACAGCAGCCTCAAACTCTTGGGCTCAATTGATCCTCTTGCCTCAGCCTCCCGAGTAGCTGGGATGACAGCCACATGCCACCACACCTGGCAAATTTTTCTATTTTTAGTAGAGATGGGGTCTCAATATATTGCCCAGCTCCTGGTTTCAAGTTATCAGCCTATAGCTGAGTACTTTCATAAAAATTGTGGTGGCTCATGCCTGTAATCCCAGCACTTGGAAGGCCGAAGTGGGTGGATTGCCTGAGCTCATAGATTTGAGACCAGCCTGAGCCAGAGCAAGACCCCATTTTTAAAAATAGCAGGGCATTGTGGCAGGAGCCTGTAGTCCCAGCTACTTGGGAGGCTAAGGCAAGTGGATTTTGAACCCAAGAGTTTGAGGTTGCTGTGGGCTAAGACACCACAGCACTCCACCAAGGGTGACTAAGTGAAACTCTGTCTAAAAAATAAAATAATCGTGATGGCCTGTGACAACATTATCCATATGTCACCTCACTAAGCCTTTATCAGTGAGATGGGGAGCTGATTGAGCTCTGCTACCCAGGACTGATTGTTATAGGCTTTACTTGGGATAGTCTTACAGATAGGCTGGCACACAATCATGGATAATTCTCAATGCTGTAACTTGGATGTAAGTTGTAACTTGATGTAACTTGTAAATGTATGCATCCATGCCTCAGCTGTGCCCATGCCACCCCTTCACCCTGCCTGACTATGGCCATGCCTTACCTGGTGAAGTGCCCACTTTGCCACCAAGTAGATGCCATTTCAGAGCCTTTGAGGGGGGACTCTTCTCTCTGTTGGAGTCATCTTTAATGTTCTAGAAAACAGGCCATCTTTGTCATCAGAGTCCTGCTCTCTGTGGCAGGCAGTACCCTACTCACCCCAACCTCACTCTGTCAATCAAGAACTTATGTAGGGAGGAGTCTAAGGGAGAGGACTCCTCAGACATGTGTGGCCCATCTCCTGCAACAGGTTCAGAGGGGACTCTGGGTTTTGAGGTGGAAAGTGTGCGCACATGCGCATGCATGTGTATATGGGTGTGCATAGCATGAGAGTAAGAGAGAACTAGGAGAGCTGTGGGGGTTTGCCAGAACTTTCTGCATCAGCTGTCTGACCCTTTTACTACTGGTTTGGTATGTCAGGGCTTCCATCAAGTCCAACAACTCTTCAGGTAACTTCTGTGCCCTATTGGGCACCTCAGTTTTAAGTGAGAGGTTCCTTTATTCCTCGGTATAACTGGAATATGGTAATAGTCAAAGGCATCCAGGGTCCTGCACTGGCTAAGGAGATCTCTGGGTGAGCTGCCATAATAGAGACCCAGAACTGGCATACTTGGAGCCTCCAGCCATGAGAGGCCCTGCCTGGAACAGCCTAAGCTTCCTCATAATGGGTCAGCTCAGCAACCAGCTCAGCACAAGAGTCAGAGCCTGAGACTGAGAAGGCAGGAGAGGGTGATGGGCATGGGCTGGATTCCCAAATCTGGAGTTCTTCGAACGGGGGCAGTGCTGGTACGCACAGCATCCCCTAGAAATGTAGCCCTTTGTCTAGGGATAAGCTACATCCTGACTGGGATAGGTTTCCTCATTTTGAAAATGTGTTGTGTTCACAAGGGGCTATCACCCAGTGGAATGCTGAAGAGCTCACAGGGTTCAGTGCCCCTTCAACCACAAGTACAGCTGTGTCCAGGGTCTTTCCTCTGGAGGCCCCTCTGACCACTGAGGTGAGATGGGTATTACATGCAGGACAGATGTGTCAGGCCCTGGATGGGGCTAAGCCCCAGTAGGCAAAGGTCACTCTCAGGCTCCAGTTAGGCCCCTGCTAAGCCCTGGGCAGCAGCAAGAATCTATTAGAGACCCTAATTCCTTTTCCCTGAAAGACCGTCTATAGTGAGGTAGCAGATGTGACAGTGGCTGTCAATCCCACAGTCCTTGGTACTAGGCTGGGGATGATGCTAGGATAGGCAGGCAGAGCCAAAGGCGGGGAGGGGCATCCATAGGAGCCCCCAGAGCTGAAAAGCAGGTCTCCTAGGGGAGTTTCTCCCCTAGGGGCTAGGGTGAAGGATATCCATGGGACACTCACCATGGAAAATAGTCCCATCCCCGCTGGCCCTGGGCTTGGGGGCCTGGCCCAGACATCTTAAAACCCAGGAACGACCAGGAGCCAAAGTGGAAACCAAACACTTTGTGTGTTATTAGGGAGGGGAGTCAAACCATTCTGGCCACTGAGGGGGTCGCGGGCTTGGTAAAACAGAGCTTCTTGGGCTGGCTTCTCTGCAGGATCATCTTTGGCTTTTCCTTCTGAAGGGCTGCACTTCCCTGTTTTCTTCCAGACTGGTTCTTCAAGGAGGCCACTAGTAAGGCACACTGCAATGGGATTGGAGGGTCAGCAGCACCCTTGCCACTGTAGCCAGCCAGATAGACATGCAAATACCACCTACACAGCAGGAGTCCCTGGGTCTACTGGAACCCATGGCACCCCTGGACTTTTCTTTTTGTTTCTAGAACACTACCTGGGGTGACAGTGCTGTGGATCAGTCCTACTAACTGTAAGCCCCAGGTGTAGAGGTCTTGGGAAATATCCAGGCACAGGGCTAGTTAATAGCATGCTAATAAGAACATTCCAGCTTGGCTGGTAGGGAGGTGCTACCTTACCCCCATTTCTTTTTTCTTTTTGAGACAGAGTCTCACTATGTTACCCTTGGTAGAGTGAAGTGGCATCACAGCTCACAGCAACCTCAAACTCCTGGGCTCAAGTGATTCTCCTGCTTTAGCCTCCCAAGTAGCAGGGACTACAGGTGCCTGCCACAATGCCTGGCTATTTTTTGTTGCAGTTGTCATTGTTGTTTAGCCGGCCCAGGCTGGGTTCAAACCCACCACCCTTGGTGTATGTGGCTGGCGCCATAACCACTGTGCTACGGGCGCCAAGCTCCTTATCCCCATTTTACAGATGATAAAACCAAAGGTTTGGGAGCTTAAGGTTCTTGTACAAGGTAATACTACTAGTATGTAAAGAGGCTTTAATTCAAACCCGGGTGGGGCTAGTTCAAAGCCAGCGCTCCTTCTGTTGTAAGACACTGTAGTCTGCAGGTGTGCTGTCAGCTGACTGTATGCCATGGCAGACTCCAGATGTGGGTGCAATAATGGTGTAATACTGGATTCCTTTTGCCTACAAATTTCTCAACTGCCTGCAAGGTCCTCCTCCAGTAATTATTCTAAGGGAAAGCACTGGACGGTGTTACTCAAAAGTAAAGAAGCATCCTAAGAAAGGGTGGATTAAGCCATTTCTGCCCATTCACACCATATAAATGAGTTGTTAAGACCAGGGAATGGGACTGGCATGCACCTGAGAAGAGAGATTTTAAAAAGCATCAAAGGGGCTCAGTGCCCATAGCACAGTGGTTACAGCGCCTGCCACATACACGGAGGGTGGTGGGTTTGAACCCAGCCCGGGGCCAGCTAAACAACTATAACAACAACAACAACAACAACAACAAAAATAGCCAGGCATTGTGGTGGGTGCCTGTAGTCCCAACTACTTGGGAGGCTGAGACAAGAGAATCGCTTAAGCCCAAGAGTTGGAGGTTGCTGTGAGCTGCGATGCTACAGCACTCTACCGAGGGCGACATAGTGAGACTCTGTCTCAAAAAATAAATAAAAAGCATCAAAGGGCCTTGGTGTCAGGAAGACAGCTCAGGCAGGGCCAGGGGAGCCATAAATCTGCCCATCCAATGGCCACAGAGGAAAAAAACATGGACATGTGGCCCTGCCACAGTCCAGTCGAGGGAGGTGAGTCCCTCTGCAAATGGTAAATCGGAAAAGAGTCCTGCACGACGCCTCCCCTGCCTGGGCCATGGCCCCTACATACTCCGTCTACCACCATGGTTTAAACTGCCCCAAATCTCTATCTGCAGCCGTATCTTTTCCTATCTGTTTATGGGATACCTTCACTTAGTATTGCAAAGCCCCATAAACCTTTGTCCCAAGCCCTCCTGCCCTGAACTCCCCATGGGCTCTTCTCCTGTTTGGGACTCTTCTCCACACCTGAGACCTATGGTACCACTGCCTACTGAGTTCCCCAGGGAGGAACATGGCCGTTACTCTGGATTTCTTCTTCTTCCTCACTCTGCACAGTTGGTTAAAAGTTTGGTCAATTCTTTCCTAAATGTTCTCATGTCTGCTCCCTTATTCCCATTCTCATTGCTCCTAACATGATCCAACCCCTTCTAACTGCAACTTGTACTGCTCAGCTCCCCTCTTTGAGGAAGTAACATGTTAGTGAAGCCAGAAAAGTGGTCTGCAAGATGGAGTCTGAGAAGCTAAACTGAAGCAGGACAGCTGACCCAGTCTGCTCAGCCCCCATGATTATGTAGTTGAGATTTCTCCATGACGGTGAGGATGTTTATCTCAGGAGACTCTGAGGAGGTAGTCACACATAGACAATAGATGTTATGATAGTGGAGATTAAAGGTTACTTTGATGACATGGTGTTTTCTCTGATTATTCCCTTAGAAAATTTAAAAAAAATGAAAATCGCCTTTCTGTTGTTTAAACATTTTGCATTGTTAGACTAGAGACTAACATATTATTTCCTATCAGATAAAGTTAAAATTTTCAAGTTGGCATCCTTGTATTTCATTTATAAAAGTTATTAAAATTGTAACTGAGGCAGAACAGAATTGAGAGCTCTCACTGTTCTGCAGAATCACTGGCCTTCTGACAAATAAAGCTTGTTTGGACCTAACCCCCGTCATCTTGAATACTAGGCAGCAAGCCACAGAAGATCTGGGGTGGGGGATGGCGGGCAGAGGAAACAGCAGATGTAAAGTCCCAGAGTTTAGGAATGAGCTTGATGTGTTCAAGGAACTCAAAGGAGGCCAGATGGTACAGCATCTAGACCTAAAACCAGTGACTGATAGGAAACACTCACGGTTGACCTGAAGCCTTGGGTGGCAGTGGATCAGGCCACAAAGAGTAAAGTTGAGGTGGGATGAGTTGTGTCTGTTCAAAAGATAGGCTGAAATCTGAAGTCCCAGGACCCATAAATGTGACCTTACTTGGAAATAGGGTCTTTGCAGGTATAATTAAGATGTAAATTAAGATGAGGACATATTAGAGTAAAATGAGCCCTTACTCTAATATGACTAGTTTCCTTGTTAAGAGGAGAAGAGATACAGACACACACAGAAGGAAGAAAATCATGTGAAGACAAAGGCACAGACTGAAATTATTCTGCCACAAACTAAGGAACATTCAAGCATTGCTGACGACAAAGACTCCTTCCTTGACCAAATTTATTGGCTTCTCCGAGCCTCCTTTTCAAGAAGACCTTGACCTGTTGAACTCAGTTGTAGCAAAGAATCCTAAGCTAAGTCATGTTAGTGAGCCCCACCCCACCCTTGATATCTGACCAAATTCTTCATCTCCCACCTTGATACCTAGGTCCTGGCCAGCCTGTAGCAAGAATTCCTACCTATGATATCTAAGCAAGTTCCTCTTAGTAATTTTCCATCCACTGACTCTGCTCATTGGCTTATCAATCCTCATTGACCTTTGCAATTATCAGAGTTGAGTTTAATCTCTTTCCCCTATTGCCATAGTCTTAAATAAAGTCTTCTTTACCATTTTATTTTTATTTTTATTTTTGAGACAGAGCCTCAAGCTGTCCCCCTGGGCAGAGTGCCGTGGCATTACAGCTCACAGCAACCTCCAACTCCTGGGCTCCAGCGAGTCTCCTGCCTCTGCCTCCCAAGTAGCTGGGACCACAGGCGCCCGCCACAACGCCCGGCTATTTTTTGGTTGCAGCCGTCATTGTTGTTTGGCGGGTCCGGGCTGGGGATTCGAACCTGCCACCTTAGGTGTACGTGGCTGGTACCCTAGCCAGTTGAGCTATAGGCACCGAGCCTTCTTTACCATTTTAAATGGTAAAGTGCTTAGTGCCATTTAACAAAACAAACAACCCACCTCCCCACCAAAATAAACAAACAAACACCAGCCACCACCAGAAGGAAGGATTCTCCCTAGGGCCTTCAGAGGTAGTATGGACCTGCTGATACCTTGATTCTAGACTTCTAGCCTCCAGAAGTATGAGAGAAAAAATATCTACTCTAAGCAACCACAGGAAATGAATACAGGAGCCAGTGTTGTCCTTTGGTCTATGCCCAAGGCATACCTTTTGGGAGTAGTTGAAAGCCTTCTCCATCTCAGACATGATGGCATTGATGTCATCACTCTCATAAATGCCTGGAAGCAAAGCATATCGTAAGCATGGGAAGGAAGTGTGGATCCTGGCATGTGTCCACATCTGGATGCACCTGTGGAGGTGACTGGAGCTTGAGGGACAGGGTGGAGCCTTAAGGGACTGAGCTGGTTTGCCTCCTCCCTTACCCAGTGGTGAAGGGGATGGGTAGATATGGTGTGATCACCTACAGTGAGGTTGGCCTTGCAATCCAGGGTCACAAGAAAAGCAGGTCAGGTGCAAAGGTCTTGCCACTCAAGTGAATGAAAGAACCTACTTTGGAATTTTTATAGTAGGTAATGTCTACAGTGAACACCGAGGTCTCATTTGAGAGGGGCTAGAGTATAATGGCTACAAAGACAGACTCTAAGGCTGGGCTGCCTGGATTCAACTCCCATTTCCTGTACTTAACTACCTGTGTTCTCTTGAGCTCTGTGTCCCAGCTTCTCTATCTGTCAAATGGGGATAATAATCATCTACTTCAGAGGATCAAATCATAATACACCCCAAATCAAACTCCAAAATCTAAAATCTGAAATGCTCCAAAATCTGAAACTTTTTGAGGATCAAATCATAATACACCCCAAATCAAACTCCAAAATCTAAAATCTGAAATGCTCCAAAATCTGAAACTTTTTGAGCACCAACATGCTGCTCAAAGGAAATACGCTCACTAGAGCATTTTATATTTTAGACTTTCAGATTTGGGATGTTTGACCTATTAAGTATTCCAAAATCTGAAAACATCTGCAATCTAAAACACTTCTGGTCCCAAGCATGTAGGGTAGGAATATCCAACCTGTATCTGTGAAATGCTTAGAACTGTGTCTGGCATGTAATAGCTGTTCTGTGCTATTATTAGTGATGATTACCAATACTTTATTTATTTATTTTTTTCTTTTTTTTGAGACGGAGCCTCAAGCTATCCCCCCTGTGTAGAGTGCCATGGCATCATGCTCACAGCAACCTCCAACTCCTGGGCTCAAGCGAGTCTCCTGCCTCCGCCTCCCAAGTAGCTGGGACCACAGGCGCCCGCCACAACGCCTGGCCATTTTTTGGTTGTAGCCATCATTGTTGTTTGGCAGGCCCGGGCTGGGGATTCGAACCCGTCACCTTAGGTGTATGTGGCTGGCGCCTTAGCCGCTTGAGCCACAGGCGCTGAGCCAGATTACCAATACTTTAAATGTACACACCTAGTACTTTTGAGAAAAGAAAGAGCTGGGAAACAGGGCCCAGAGTTCAACCACTAACTTTGTAACCACAGGCACATTGCTTCCCTGGGAGTTACTCCATTTATCGATCAGAGAGGCTGGGATGCACTCGACAGGGTGGGAACCTTCTGATTTCAAGATTGTTCCTTTTTAAGCACCAAAGGAAGCAAGAAAAGCTTCATCTTTCTCTGCTGCATCCCCTTTTTATTTTGCAGTGTTTGGCTGGGGCCAGGTTTGAACCCGCCACCTCTGGTATATGGGGCCAGTGCCCTACTCCTTTAAGCTGCAGGCGCCACCCTGCACCCCTTTTTAATAAAAGGATTATTCCGTAAGTATGGGCAAAGGACCTAGAAGGCCACATGTAGTGTTAAGGATGCAGGTTCCCCAGCCCTGCAGGCCCCAGTCACTCCCATATCACTGTCATGGTTTATATGTTGTCTGCATACCCTTTAAACCATTATTTACTTCAGATGTGTATTTTAATCCATTCACTTTTTGTTTACTTAAAAGCAAAATCATGCACTGATCAATGATGGAGACATGGTCTGAGAAATGCACCATTAGTGATTTCCCCGTGTGACCATCCCAGAGCAAGCACACTTACACGAACCTGGATGGCCTAGCATACTACGTACTGAAGCTGTATCATATAGCCTAGTGCTCCCAGGCTACAAAACAGCACAGCCTGTTACTGTGCTGAATACGGTAGGTAACTGTAACACAGTGCTAAGTATTTGTGTAGTGAAGCAAATCTAAACATAGAAAAGGTACAGTACCAATATAGTATTATAATCTCAAAGGACTACTGCTGTATGTATATTCAGTCCATCATTGACTGAAATATCAGTGTGTGATGCATGACTGTGTATTTAAAGCAGAAGATCTATGCCACTGCCGACAGTGGAAAAGCCAGTATTTTTCTAGGAATGATAAAATAAGCATATAACTGTCATAATAAAAAAATGTTGCTGCATCTACCATTTACAGCTATCTTGCCAGCCACCTGTTGTGAACATACTACCCTTTGGGAAACATTAATCTAAGGGATCATTAGGGTACCTTCTAGTTCTGACATTCTAAAATACCTTTTTTTTTTGGAGACAGGGTCATACTCTGTCACCCTGGCTAGATGCAATGGTGAGATTATAGCTCACAGCAATCTCAAATTCTTGGGCTCAGCCAATCCTCCTGCCTCAGCCTCCTGAGTAGCTGGGACTACAGGCTAATACCCAGCTAATTTTTGTATTTTTTGTAGAGATGGGGTCTTGCTCTTGCTCAGGCTGTTTTTTCTTTTGTTTGTTTGCTTGCTTTTTGAAAATTTACCATTTGAAATGGACTCTCACTCTGTTGCACCAGGCTAGAGTGCCCTGGCATCAGCCTAACTCACAGCAACCTCAAACTTCTGAGCTCAAGTGATCCCTCACTGCATTACTCTCCTGAGTAGCTGGGAATACAGGTAACTACTACAGTGCCCAGCTAGTTTTTCTATTTTTAGTAGAGACAGAGTTTTGCTCTTGCAAAAGAGCAGGAGGCTGGTCTCAAACTCCTCAGCGCAAGGGATCCTACAACGCCTGGCTATTTTTTTGGTTGCAGTTATCATTGTTGTTTAGCAGGCCCAAGTCAGGCTTGAACCTGCCAGCTTCAGTGTATATGGCCGGCGCCCTACTCACTGAGCTATGGGTGTCGAGCCAGTAATTTTATATTTTAAAATGTAATTTTCACATGACACTTCTCGGGAATGCCTCTGTGTTATAAGGGAGCTCTGCTGGTGCTGAGACAACTATCTGGAAAGAGAGGGGTGAAGGGACCACTCACACACCTGTTTCTCCAAACCAGTGGAAGCGGCCACCAGCAGCCCGGGTGACCTCCCTGTAGGCAGCGGCTGTGTCAGTGCGGTTGGCATAGCAGGCTGGGGGCATGGTGTCCATCGGTGGCTCACCCACATAGAAGAGACACACATTCAGCCGGAGGTCGCAGCCCCCACAGACCTCGGCCACGTAGGAGCTGAGTGTGGGCTGTGCAGGGAAAGAAGGCAAGGGGCCCACAGCTGAGGGCCATGAAGCTTCTGGGCTCCAGTTGGTCCAGCTTAATCGTATTTTCTGAGGGCCTATAGTTTGCTTGCACTAGAACTTGGCACCAAGAGGACATAAACAGCTTGATAGGGTGTGGCGGGGGACTAGACCTGAAAGCCTGGTTACACCAAGGCTGTGTTGTAGACCAGCAGTATTGACACCCCCTGAGAGCCTATTAGAAATGCAGACTCTCAGGCCCCACTCCAGACCTACTGGACCAGGGTCTACATTTTCACAACATTCCCAGATGCTTGTCTGTACATTACAGTTTGGGCAGGGCTGGTATAGAAGATCATGCTGGACAAATTATTGGTGTCCCTGCCAAGGGAAGATGGATTGGTTGCAAAGGATGAGAGACACCCAGGATATGGTCTACCTACCATGTCTTGGTCAGGGATGCCCCCCGTGAAGAGGTAGATGCCCTGTGATTGGTGCTTGTCTTTGTCCTTGAAGTCCACTTCCACAGCCTTCCGTAGGGCTCCCAGGACGTTCCTGCTGCCCCAACACTGTAGGCTCAGGGCCCACCTGGGGAGGCAAGGACAGGTGTCCTGAAGGAGGAGCCCAGGAGCAGTGGGCAGAAGGCAGCTATTTTGCAATATCTGCCTGTGGCTGTGTGAGGACAGAGACGCTAGAGAGCTGCTTGGTGCTGAAGAGGGGAATGGAGAACATAACACCCTCCAGGTTGCCTTTGGACACCGCAGCAGTATCTCTCCCCGTCACCTACCGCCAGGCACTCTGTAAATTGTCGTGGCTCACAGGAACCATCTCAGGCCTCCAGCTTTTGACTGTACTTCCAAACCTTTGAAGAAGCAAAGAGGGCTTGTTATAAGCAGGGGCCATGTGCATGCTGCAGCCCAGCTCTGTGGATGTTGCAGGCTTTAGGGGTGCAAAATTCTGATGACTCCCCTAAAATGTTAGGATGCCACTGGGCCAGCCATGAACCTTCCTTGCTGATTATAACATGTCCTAGCACATGTGTTGGGCTCCACCTGTGTCTCCCTTCTGAACTCCCCGAGCACGGCTTCCTCATATTTAACAGCACATTACCTCTCCATTCACACTATAATTCCTTTTCTAAAAAATATACATCATCTAATTTTCATTATAAGACAAGAATTTTTTTTGAGACAGAGTCTCACTTTCTCACCCTTGGTAGAGTGCTGAGGTGTCATAGCTCACAGCAACCTCAAACTCTTGAGCAATTCTCTTGTCTCAGCCTCCCTGGTAGCTGGGACTACAGGTGCCTGCCACAACTCCTGGCTATTTTTTAGAGACGGGGGTCTTGCTCTTGCTCAGGCTGGTCTTGAACTCCTGATCTGAGGCAATATGCCCATCTCGGCCTCCCAGAGTGCTAGGGTTACAGGTGTGATCCACCACGCCCAACTATATAAGACAGAATGAAGAACTTTGAAAAGAGGATTTATCCCCTTCATCAAGGAAAAGAGGTCCCGTCTCTAATCTATGAGTAATTCCTCCACGGGGGCTCCAGACCTCACCATTGATACTCTCTTCCGAGAATACCCCACAATTACCCCCTCACATACACACATCCCCAGCTTTCCTTTGCTTCCCTCTCCCCAGTTGCTTTTCTACATGTTTAAGCCTCTGCCTTCTTAAAAATAATTCCTCCCTCCAACTGGAAGGTACTCTTCGAGCAACTTCTCTCTCCTTCTTCTTTTCCCTTTATAGACGTACTCCCAGGAAAAATAGTGTACCAGTCCCTCTTCATCTCCTTGGCCCTCTGCAGTTAAGCCTCCCCCCTGAGGTGTCCTGGCAAATATTAACATTGACCTGCCTTCCCACCACCAGTGGAAATATCTCTATTATAGCCAGATTTTAAATCCTCTCTTGAAGTTGGACAAAAATTCTGGCAGTGTACAGAACATGGAAGTTCTTCCAATTTTATTGCTTCTTTCTCCAATTTCTGTTACTTCTATGATCTATGTTCCCTTGGAGTTAAACAAAATGTGTAGGTAAATATGTATTTATAGAAATGGAATTACAGGCCAGGCACTTATAAGTAGGTAAATATATATTTATAGAAATGGAACTATAGGCCAGGCACTTATAAGTGCTTCACATTTATAATTCTAGCATTCTCGGAGGCCGAGGCAGGAGAATCCCTTGAGCTCAGGAATTTAAGATCAGCCTGAATAAGAGTAAGATCCCATCTCTACTAAAAATAGAAAAATTAGCCAGGTGTTGTGGTTGGTGCCTGTAGTCCCAGCTAATCAGGAGGGTGAGCCAGGAGGATCACTTGAACCCAGGAGTTTGAGATTGCTATGAACTAGGCTTACACCAGGGTACTCTAGCCTGGAGGAACAGAGTGTGACTCTATCTCAGGAAAAAAAAAAAGATAGAAAGAAAGAAATAGAATTACATAATATGCACTATTTATAACCTGCTTATTTCCAGTCCTTTGGACTTCCTGCAGACATTTTGCTATACACACTCAAATCAATCTCCTTCATTCTTTTGTTTTTTTATTTCTTTTTTTCTTTTTTGAGGCAATCTCACTATGTCATCCTTGGTAGAGTGCTGTGGTGTCACAGCTCACAGCAACCTCAAACTCGTGGGCTTAAGTCATTCTCTTGCCTCAGCCTCCTGAGTAGCTGGGATTAGAGGTGCCCGCCACAATGCCCGGCTTTTGTTGTTGTTGTTGTTGTCATTGTTGTTTAGCAGGCCCGGGTTGGGTTCAAACTTGCAGCCCAGGTGTACGTGGCTGGCACCCTAACCACTTAGTTATGGGCACTGAGCCATCCTTCATTCTTTTAAATGGTTGCATAGTATTCCGCTGTTAAGATTATTTTACCTCCTGATGGCCATATAGTTTGTTTCTAGGTTTATCCATTGTTAAAACTCTGCAGGGAACTACCCTGTGAAGTTATCTTTGCACACACCTTAGTATTTCCTAAGGATAATTCATAAAGGATTTGTTTTTAAATTTTGAGATAGAGTCTTGCTATGTTGCCCAGGCTGGAATGCAGTGGCTATTCACAGGTGAGATCACCGTGCAGTGTAGCCTTGAACTCCTTGGCTCTAGAGATCTTCCTGCCTCAGACTCCTGAATAGCTAGGATCATGGGGGTGTGCCACCACACCCAACTTTATAAAGGAATTGAAGGGACAAAATAAATACACTTAAAAAATTAAATGTAGAGGGCTATACCAAATTATATTTCCACCAACAGTTCATAAAAGGAACCTTTTCCTATTATCACCAGCACAGTGTTACCAATCTTTTAAATATTTACCAATCTGAGTTGCAAAAAATTATATATATGTATAAATATGTGTAAAATAATATATGTGTATACATATATACACACACACATATATACATACAGGGTGGCCTAAAGTTCGCATATAATTTTGAATTGCACATGAACTTTATGGCCATACTGTATATCCTTCTTTAAAATCTCAGTGACCCCCATGGCCCAGTGCAATGGATTCCTTCATTCTTCCCCTTTCTTCTTTGCTTCTGCAGGATCTGATTCTGTTTCTCTATGAAACTCTCCTCCTTTGCTCCCCTCCCCCCACGGTTCTCTCTTGGCTTTCCTCCTGCCTCTCTGGCAGCCCCTCCTGTGTGCCTTTGGTGGTTCCCTTCCTCTGCTCACCCTTCAAATGGTGGGGTCCCCCTACATGCTGCCTTTGGTTGTCTCTTCCCTCCCCTTCACATCTGTACGGTGTAATTCACAAACTACCATTTCTTTTTTAAGAAATGTAACAAAAATGCTGATGGCTTAAAAAAAAACAACACTTATTTCGTGGCCAGAACTCCTCACTGGAGTTCTTAACAGGACATCTCACTTCAGGACCTGCAAACTCTTGAGGGTGTCTAACTTCATACATTTAAAACCATCTCTTCCTTCAAAGATCTGCTCCACTTTGGATATCATCTTCTCTTTACCAGTCTCTCTCCCCTACAGCCAAACAGTGCCTATGTTCTGTGGATTCTAACTCACCAACACCTCTCCCACATGTTGCTTTCTTCCTTCCCATTGCCTTGGCTCAAACCCACTCACAGCCAGGGCAGACCATGGCATAGGTCAAACTAGTCTCCTTTCCTCCAGCAGTACACCCTTCCACTCATCCTTGACATCATTGCTTGAGTATCTGAAGGTGCAAACCTGATCGTATTATGACCTTGCTTAAAAACCTGCAGTGGCTATCATATCCTATAGTATGAGAAATCCCTGAGCACTGCCTATATAAATCTTTCAACACCTGGTGTCTTTGTCATGCACAAGCTCTCCCTCTCGCCACCACCTCCATGCTGAATTCCCTGATGGTGCGCAAAGTTCCATCACGCCTTGTGTCTCTGTTTATGCTGTTCCCTTGACCTGAATACCTTTCCTCCCCATCACCCCATCACTCCTATATGCTGGGTGAACGCTTGTTCTCTGCCAAGACTGAGCTAAGGGGGCACGTCCTCTATGAAGATTTCCTGACCCTGCTCTGCCAGAAAGAATGGACTGGTCCTGTCACTGATGCCTCACAGTCCCGTATCCTGCCTTCCACTTGTTTCTACAGAAAATTCTTTTTTTTTTTTTGAGACAGCGTCTCACTATGTCACCCTCGGTAGAGTACCATGGAGTCACAGCTCACAGCAACCTCCAGCTCATGGGCTTAAGCGATTCTCTTGCCTCAGCCTCCCAAGCAGCTGGGACTACAGGTGCCCACCACAACACCTGGCTATTTTTTTGTTGCAGTTGTCATTGTTGTTTAGCTGGACCCGGCCAGGTTTGAAACCGCCACCCTCGGTGTATGTGGCTGGTGTCCTACTCACTGAGCTATGGGCACCAAGCCTGTATAGAGAATTCTTAATAGGCTCGGCACCTGTACATATGGTACCAGCCACATACACTGAGGGTGGCAGGTTTGAATCCGGCCTGGGCCAGCTAAACAATGACAACTGCAACAAAAAATAGTCGGGCATTATGACGGGTACCGGTAGTCCCAACTCCTTGGGAGACTGTGGCAAGAGAATCGCTTAAGCCAGCAGTTCTCAACCTGTGGGTCGCAACATTAGGAAGGTTGAGAACCACTGGTTAAGCCCAAGAGTTTGAGGTTGCCGTGAACTGTGAGGGCACAGCCCTCTACCAAAGGTGACATAGTGAGACGCTGTCTCAAAAAAAGAAAATTCTTAATAGCCTTTACTTATTGACATGCCTGTCTCCCACAACTAGGCCATAATTTCCTCATGGACAGGCATTGTGTGTGTTTATTTCCACATCCTCAGTGCCTACTACAGTGACTGGTACATGGCAGGTTTTCAATAAAGCTTTGTTGAAGCTGGGTATGGTGGCTCCTGCCTGTAATCCTAGCACTTTTGGAGGCCAAGGTGGGAGGATTTCTTGAGGCCAGGAGTTCGGGATTGCAGTGAACTATGAGTGTCCCACTATACTGCAGCCTGCGTGACAGAGCAAGACCCTGTCTCTAAAATAAATACATATATACATACATACACTTTGTTGAATGTATAGATAAATGAATTGAACTATTGTCTAAAACATTTCCCTAAGCCTTTTTTTGGTAGAATTAATTAAGGAAAGATTAGGGGCTGGTATAGACTAATATTAACTGCTGACGTAATAGATTTAGAATACTCCCTATTTGGTGTAAGTTTGTCTAAAAATGTATGTTTCTTAGTGTCTTGCCTAATTAGTTAAAATGATATATAATTTTAAAAAGTATATACATCGTTTATAAATTAAAACAACTATAGGCTGGGTACAGTGGCTCATGCCCATAATCCTACCACTTTGGGAGGCTAAGGTAGGAGCATCACCTGAAGTCAGCAGTTTGAGACCAGCCAGAGTAAGAGTGAGAGCTGTGTCTCTACAAAAACAAAATAGAAAAATTAAGCATGGTGGTACAAGTCCCAGCTACTTGGGAAGCTGAGGCAGGAGGACTGCTTAAGCCCAGAAGTTTCAGGTTGCAGTAAACTATGATAATGCCACTGCACTCTAGCCTGGGGGACAGAGGAAGATTATAAAAAAAAAAAAACTATATATAATTATATATAATAGTTTTAAAACTATATATTGATTTCAAAAATAGCCTGCCATTTGTACATATATAAAACTCAAACTTAGACACAAAATTTTTATTTAAACTTAGAATTAGAAGCCTAAATCTTTGAAATAGTGTGGCTTGCTAGAACCAAGCAGAGGGCTAACACGAGAATACAGCTGGGACCTCACCTTTTCTCTTTTGTGTTCAAAACTTTGAAAGCCAAATGGGGCAACGGGCTGAGTCACTTTATCCTGACAGATCAAGCTGTGTGTTTTGGGGCCACTTACCACCTTTGCCCCAGTGGGACAGTCCTGCAACCATTTAATTATTCAATGTCCCAAAGAAGATTATCCAAATCAGATAAACCGGTGGCCATCTAGGATGGTGGGTGCCTATAACATCAATATCTGTCATCCAGCTATGTCCTGAAGCCTCAGCCCAGCGCTGGGATCCAAACACACCGACCCGCCCTTGCTACCAGAAACGCTGAGAAACATACGCGATGAGGTTGAAGCAGTCCTTGTTGGATAGCTGCTCCTCCAGCAGCAGCCGCAGGGAGTGCTGGATATGAATAATGTACATGGAATTGGTCACAGAGATATCGAGCAGTATAACCACCCTACAAGGAAACACAAGCTTTACGAGGAGAATTGAATCTCTCAGATAATGTTTATTTTGTTCCATTTTACTATTTAAAGTTTTTTCCAGGGGGATTCTGCTTGCCAAACTCATAGCTGGCCAAAATATTCTTCACAGTTTGAGGTCAACAGAGATGGGGTTACAACAGTAGACTAAGGGGGTCATGGAACCTTCTCTCCCAGGAGGTTCTATAATGGAATAAAGTCTCATGGTGGAGATGGTTTAAGGGGCTGGGGCTTCATATAATGATCTCTATAAATTCCTTGTTTTTGAGAACTAGCATATTTTCTAGGTTGGGGGGGTCTCTATAGGGAAAGAGAAACCAGGTGAGCAAGTAAGATAAGGAACTACATATATCTGGGCCTCCTGGGAAATGTTTTTATCTTTTTGTTTGTTCTCACCTATTTTAAGATCTTTAGCTTCATTCGGTCTTCCTCTCCTTTTATTACCACAAATCTTATGCTCCCACCTCCTCCCCCATTCTCATTTTGAGACAGCTGAGGATGGCAAAAGAAAATCCACTAGCTTTAGAGTCAAGAGACTTTGGTTCAAATTCCACTTCCTACAGCTGTGTGGCCTTAGGCAAATCTCAAAACCTCTCTGATCTGTGATGTATTTAACTATGAACTATTTGTAATTAGACTCTCATAAGGTTGCTTTGAGAATTAAATCACATAATAGATGTATAATATTACAAAGTATAATATTTTGTCAATGGTAACACATCAAATGAAGTAAAGAGTGATTATAGCAGCTGTTATGGATACCTTTTATTTCTCCCTATTCAGCATCCATTCCGTCATCTGGCAATAGTATCACGATTTTTAATTTGGGAAACACCTCTGCCTCCATCAACCCATTTGAATTGAGTGATGGTGACCCCACTCCAAGCTTCTAGGGTAGGCATTTAACCCTAAACAATTTGATCATCACACCTCCCTGGCCAGAGTGGCTGGCTCATGGCTGAGCTGATGCTCAAAGCCCTGGGAGTGCTGAGTAGGCAGAAAGTTAAGTTTGGAAGCTGCAGGTGGCTGGCTGTCTTGCCATCTGACATGAATAAACCTCTCAATGCAGCCATGCCTGAAGACAGACATCAAATCTACTCTAGAATTTTCAGTAACCTTAATCAGATTTCTGTGTCTTATTTAAGCCAATTTGTATTTAGTTACTGTTGCTTTTTAACTGCAAGAATCCTGAGGGACACAAAGAACATGTTAACCAATGTTCATGATGGTGGTGATGAGTTTTTCCCCCTCTAGGAGTTCTGCTGAGAGATTTCTGAACCTTAATCTGAGTGATGGCTTCTGATGCTACTACCAGGAACAGAGGAGTTGGGTAAATGATGAATAAGAGCTTGTGTGGGGAAAGGTACCTTTTTTCACAGACAGTGCCCCAGATTCTTCGACTGGCCAGAGAGAGCCACTCAATCCGCCACTCATACATCCTCATAGCCCTGCTGAGCTGTTTCTGCAAAGGCATGGGCCACAGTAAGGGCCTGGGCAATAGGTAGGCATAAAGGGTCTGGAGGAAGTGGGCGTACCCCAGCTGGCTTCTGGGAATGGCATGTTAAGTCTTTGGGTAGCCAGGCAGTGTGGCCCATCTACTAAATCATGAACAAATCTGCCAAAGACCAGGAAGGACAGTCAAAGTACTTCATTGTGTCAAATGGAGAGAAGGTAGATCTTGTCCCAGAGGGCTAAAGACTTTGTGGCATCAAGGTCCCTGCCTGGGGAGGCAGGTAGAGAAAACTCCAGAGGTACTTATAGGTCTTTCCTTACACTTTTCTCCCATTCCCCTTTCCTTACCCCAGAAAGGAACAGGTTCTGACTGATTGGACACATCACTGACCTGGTACTCATAGAGGAAGGGCGGGTCCACGTGAATATTCTTCACTGTCCCGTCATGCCATTCAAATTGTACCATTGCCTTCTGCGCTCAGACACGGGCAGGACAGGCAGTGGGTGACCAGAAGCATGTGTGAGAAAGGATTCTCAGTTTAATTTGGGCACGGGGCTGTCCAAATCAGATGCACAAGAGGAAAATGGGCTCTGAACATAGCCAGGGTCAGATTATTTGCTTCTACTCCCTGCTTCCTGCCCCCTACCCCATAGATTCCCTCACCGCCTCCACTACCACAGCCAGGTCATTTGCCTGTCTGGAGTTGGCAAACAGAGGGCCCTGCAGGAGCCATGCCCGGCAGCAAGCCAGGCTGCTATCCTGGGAGGCACTTCTGGACATCAGGGTCATTATAATACAGTTGGAGGGCTTCGGTGGCAGAGGACAGAGGAGGAGACCTTAAAACATGCTGTCATGATTTCTTAGGTTTGGGAACCCAGAGGGGCCTTCACACACACTTTGAAAATTCAATTTGTTCACCCCATGCTTTCATCCTCCACCAAGTCATATCCTTCCATCTACCTTGTCATTCATCCACGCACTGCCAGAACTATACATCCCTCACTCCTCTTTCTTTCCTTTCAGCCTTCCATTTCCACATTATCTTTCTTTTCATCTCTTATTTCTTCCTTTTGTTTCTCTATCCTTTCAATACTCTATTCTCCCATCCTTACTTTAATTTACTGTCATCCTTTTGCAAGCCCATTATTCCATTATGTCACTCATCCTTGCATGTTTTCCCTCTCCCCTTCCATCTGCTTACATTTCCATCCAGCCACCCACATTTCCATCCATATACCTGTCCATCATTCTTTTCCTCCTCTCCATCCTTCCAACTACCCACCCACTCAGCCATTCAGGAAACATTCACTGACTGCTGACTTAAAATAATTATTGGGTTGTGCTCGCTTCGGTAGCACATATACCAAAATTGGAACAATACGGAGAAGATTCACATGGCTCCTGCTCAAGGATGACATGCAAATTCATGAAGTGTTCCATATTTTTAAGAGATTTCAAAAACAACAACAACAACAAAAACCAACAAAAAATAATTTTTGGTAACAGGGAGTTGGAGAAGACAGTATTTTCTTTAGATACTTCATACGTGATATATTTTTTTCTTTTTTCAGGGACCAAATCTGCGCGTGATGGATAGAGATTTAGACTTAGAACACAAATACATGCATTAGCACATTATCGGAGCAAGGGTAAAAGTCTGGATAAGGAACAGTGAGGACATAAGAGAACAAATCTGTCCTGAGTGGGGAAGAAGGAAACCTTCACAAAGGAGGTGACTATGGTGTCTATATGCTTCCTCTTCCCTGTCACCCAAGTTTTCATTTCAGATCTTTGAGAAACAGCACTGACAGTAGATTTGATGAGCGTGCCTGAGTCCTGGGGGAAAGGCTTGCATCCGACTCCCAGGCCCGCCCTCCTCCAGGCCCATCTGTGACTCTTGTTGCCAAGAACTTTTAGGAAAATAGGAAAAGCCACAAAGGAGCTCCCCTGCCGGGGACTGGCAAGAACTCTGAACTGAATTTGAATTACCTCGTGGATAGTTGATGATATGGTTTTCTGGAGAATAGGCACAAATTCCTCCACAGGAGAGAATGCATTAGGGGCCAGAACCTGGTAAAGGCTTAATTTCTTGGCTGAAAAAATAAATAGTGGGGAGGATAGGGGGTTAAGGCACTGCCCAGGGAGCACCAAAGGGTTTAACCTTTTAGTCATCATCCGTTACCCAGATTCTGCCCTCTTTAGGGGATTACCTTTCAGACCATTGATCTTCAGCCATTCTGCAGAAGTCTTGTCCAAGTTCGGAAACTCAATTGTGAGAGGAGCTTCATGCTTTGGGGGTTTAGGCAAGAGACCCTTAAGTGTCCCCTTTGCAATCTCTGCAGAAATCTAAAATACATTAGAAAACCCTCATTACATAACAACATTTTTACAGTTGGAAAGTCCTCAATCTCTGCTACCCACCCAGTCTCCCCAAATGGATTGTCTTAAAACATTACCTGGTAGATTAAAGGCAGTTCTACCTTTCTCTCTCATTATCTCCATCCCCTTCTCTGGGAATTTCTGGAATTTACAGGGCAAGAAGGAGATGTTCCCTTGCTTCTTTCACTTGCCCATCTCCTTGCTCCTTCCCCATTCGTTAAAACCAGCACCATACGCACCGCACCACGGTGACAGACCATCCCCCCATGGGCTCAAAACACAAGGCTTCAGTGAACTAAAAAATAACTCCTACACCAACTCATTTAGGGAGTTCTCATGTGGCCCAGCTGCCCCTAGCCCACATTCGCAAAGTGAAAAACTGAGGTTCTGAGAGGTTAAATTAGATAGCTGGTGTATAAGCAAAACAAAGAACAGTAAGTCCTAAATTTCAGACATTCGAGCTGCACCTTCATTAACTTTGCTATATCTGAGTACCAATGTATTATTAATATTTTTTAAGAATTAATCATATAGTGTTAAAGCTTTTTACTTATTAATCTAATCTTTTTTCTTTTTATGAGACTGAGTCTTGCTCTGTTGCCCAAGCTAGAGTGTAGTGTTATAATCACAGCTCACTGCAGCCTTGAACTCCTGGGCTCAAGGAATCCTCTCACTTCAGCTTTCTGGGTAGCTGGGACTATGGGTATACATCACTATGCCCATATATCATTTTTGTTTTGTAGAGATTGAGGGGGCGGCAGGACTCCCTATATTGCCTAGGTGAGTCTTGAACTGATCTCAAACAATCCTCCCACTTCAGCTTCCCAAAGTGTTGAGATGACAGGTATGAGCTACCATCCTGGCTCAATTTTATTTAATTTAAAAAATTCACTCCCTTTCGTACTTAATTTTAGAAAGATCTATTATAATCACAATGAGCTAGTTTTAAATAGATAACATTAAAAAGATATATTAATCTATGTACTGTCTAAAATCATCTGGGAAACCACAAGTAGTACAATCACTTCATTTTGGGAAACTCCTGGCAAAGTTTTGGCATCAGACCTGGGTTGAATCCAAATTCAATGTTTCTTTCTCTGTGATCTTGGGAAAGTTATATAACTGCTTAACTTTAATTTTCTACTCTGTGGAAAGTAATAATATACTTTCCTCAGACAGTTGTGAAGATAAAGTAAATGGATTTAAAGAATTAAATATTGTGCCTTCTTTATAATGAACATGCAGTAAATGAGATCTGTAATTACAGTACTACTAATAATTATTATTTATAGATAATCTGCAGAAGAGTTGAAATTAAAATTTAAGGTCCCATTCTCTCAGTGCTGTGCTGCTTTCACTATATCCAGCCAGGTCAAAATGCCTGGTACATCCATACCTTCATTCAATGAAGCTGTAAGTTCACTCTCAGCTTTTTTCTATATACGGCAAAGTTTTCTGTGTGGTATAAACAGCGCTTAGCTTTCATGGAGGTTGTATCCATATGCCAGCTGAGTTATTCTACTAGTGTTAAATGAACTAACTCAGCCAGGTGTGGTAGCTCACACCAATAATCCCAGCTCTTTGGGAGATTGAGGCAGAAGGATCACTTGAGGCCAGAATTTTGAGACCAGCCTGGCTAGTAAGACCCCATCTCTACAAAAGATTTAAAAATTAGCTGGGCACAGTGGTGTGTGCCCGTGGTCCCAGCTACTCAGGAAGCTGAGGTAGGAGGACCACTTGAAGCCAGGAGTTTGAGACTGCAGTGAGCTATGATCGTGCCACTGCATTCTAGCCTGGTTGACAGTGTGAGGCCTTGTCTCCCAAAGAAGAGAAATCAATAGAGATGTTTGCCTGAAATGAGGCGCTTGGAGTGGGAACAACTTTCTTTAGGACAGACTGTTTTATGCGATTGAGCTTTTCATTATTCTGCAAGGAGAAAGGACAGTGGTGGGGGCGGGGGGCAAGAGACTGAAGGTCTTTCTCTGAAGTAAATTTTTCAGTTGCAAAATCCACCAAGGTTCTTGTGGCACCACAGTAGACCACCCAACTCAGCTCAGACAGAGTTATGGGGTACAGTGAGGGTGGGCCTTGCCCTGCTTCACTGTCAGGAAGTGAAGGCCCAGGCACCTGTGCCCCCCAGAGACACAGGGAGGGCAAGAAAGGGCGAGGGAGTGAGGTCGGCTGAGTGCCTCTGGGAGCAGGTTCCAGGATGGGTGCTCGAAGCTCATACTACCTACCTCCTTCATAATGCAGGTCAGCTCTTCATAGGCATTGCTGGAGCTGTGATACAGGGCTTGGACGTGGCTGAGGAGGTTCTGGGCCTTCTGGATTTCTGCCAGGAGCTCATCCACGTCCTGGTTGCCAAAGAGCTGAGGATGGTGGGAGAAGTCAGCCAGGCAGAAATCACCTGGGTACCAGCAGCAGCCATGGCAGGAAAGGGTGAGCAATCAAGTGAACACCCAAAGCTGAGTGGCAGAGTGTTTGTTTAAACCAGACGCGTGTCAGGCAGAGCCTACAAATGCATTTTGGCCCGTTTGTATGGTATTGGTCTGCATTGTTTTTAAACAATGGAAGGGTTTTCTAACTTTAAAAGTATAAATAAATACTTTACACCCACTAGGATGCTATAATAATAATAATGATAATTTTATGATCATAATGAGCATAATGCTCATTTTCTTTCTTTCTTTCTTTCTTTTTTTTTTTTTTTGGACCAGGGCTGGCCCCTCCGGTAAATGGGGCCAGCACCCTACTCCTTTAAGCCACAGGTGCTGCCCAGCATAATGCTCATTAAAAAAATAAAAAAAAAAATAATGTGTTGGCAAGGGTGTGGGAAACTGGAAGCCTGGTGGGAAGGTAAAATGGTGCAGCTGCTACGGAGAGTGTATGGAACATCCTCAAAAAATCAAACACAGAATTACCCTCTGAGCCAGCAATTCTACGTTAGTTATCTACCCAAAGTAACTGAAAGCAGGGACAGCAGCACTATTCACAATAGCCAAAGGTGGAAACAACCCAAATGTTCATCAACAGGTGAGTGAATACACCAAATGTGGTAGACACAGACAGTAGAGTATTACTCCACCATAAAGAGGAATGAAATTTTGATGCATGCATGACCTTTGAAAACACTGATCAAAACCACTTTGAGATATCACCTCACCCCAGTGAGAATAGCCCATATCACAAAGTCCCAAAGCTGTAGCTGCTGGTGGGGTTGCAGAGAGAAGGGAATGCTTCAACACTGTTGGTAGAATTGCAAACTAATACAGCCTTTTTGGAAAGAAGCATGGAGAATCCCCAAAGAGATAAAAGTAGACTTTCTATTTGATCCTGCAATCCCATTACTATCTACCCAGAAGAAAAAAAAAGTCATTATACCAAAAGGACCTTTGCTCTTGAAGGTTCATTGCAGCTCAATTCACAATTGCAAAAATGTAGAAACAACCCAAGTGCCTATGAAAGCAAGAATGGATTTAAAAAAACTGTGGTATATGTATACCATAGAATACTATTTAGTCATAAGAAAAGATGGAGAGTTTACATCTTTTATATTAACCTGGACAGAACTGAAGAACATTCTCCTTAGTAAAGTGTCTCAAGAATGGAAAAGCAAGTATCCTATGTGCTCAATACTAACTTGAAAGTAGCAGATGAAGAACTACAGGCCCATATGAGAGGAAAACAATTAAACTCAAGAAGGGGGAGGGGGCTCAGTGCGTTCCTACCTAATGGGTCCAATATAGGGGTAGACAGCACACCTTCTGGGTGAAGGACTCAACTACAACTTGGACTTTTTCTATGAAAGGCAAACAATGTAACCGAATTGTATGTTCCCTTATATTAATCTGAAATTAAAAAAAAAAAAAACAAGAAAAAAGGCCTGGCGCGGTAGCTCACACTTGTAATCCTAGCACTCTGGGAGGCTGAGGCGGATGGATTGCTTGAAATCACAGGTTTGCGACCAGCCTGAGCAAGAGCATGACCTCGACTGTAAAAAAAAAAAAAAAATAGCCAGGTGTTGTGGTGGGCACCTGTAGTCCCAGCTACTTAGGAGGCTGAGGCAAGAGGATCACTTGAGCCCAAGAGTTTGAGATTGCTGTGAGCTACAACACCATGGCACTCTACCAAGGGCAACAAAGTGAGACTCTGCCTTCAAAAAAAAAAAAAAAAAAAGGAAAGAAAAAAGAAAACAAACAAGAAAAATACCTCATTAACATCCTAATTAATAGCAAATAGCACATTTATAAAAGATTTAGAAAACCATGAGTGTCTTTCAAGGGGTGTATTTGATCTGACTTAATAGAATCAAGTCCTTTGTCTACAAACCTCTGCAGTTTCTCTGGCTTGTACACATCACACAACAGTGTGTATTCATTAATGCAAATATATATTTAATTGTCCTGAAAATGAAATTATATAGCATTTAGAAATGAATGAATGCATAGCCTTTGGGGCTGTTAAAAAATTATGCTAATGGAAGGAAGACAGACACAAAAGATGTATGATTCCATTTGTATGAAATGCCCAGAATAGGTAAATTCATAGAAACAGAAAGCAGATTGTGATTGTCAGGGGCTGGGGGAGGGGGATGGAAAGCTACTGCTCAGTGGGTACAGGGCTTCTTTTGGGGTAAGGAAAATGTTTTAGAACTAGATAGAGGTGGTGTTTATATAATACTGTGAACATATTTAAAAAGCCACTACATTGTTCACTTTAAAGAGGTCAATTTTATATTCTGTTATTTTATTTTATTTTATTTTTCAGAGATAGTCTCATTTTATTGCCTTCGCTAGAGTGCTGTGGTGTCACAGCTCACAGCAACCTCCAACTCCTGGGCTTAGGCGATTCTCTTGCCTCAGCCTCCCAAGTAGCTGGGATTACAGGCACCTGCCACAGTGCCTGGCTATTTTTTGTTGCAGTTTGTCTGGGGCCGGGTTCAAACCCACCACCCTCAGTATATGGGGCCATCCCCCTACCCAGTGAGCCACAGGCACTGCCCATTTTGTTATTTTTTTTTAATGTAAGGAAATCACACACACAAATAATCTAGCTATTTGGCTCTTCTTGAAAAATTAGAAGATTGGAATTCTACAATCATATTCCTACAGAGCAACAGTCTGCTGGGGCTGAAGAGGCCACCTTTTTAGATAGGTCTGTGTGACCTATAGTTTGCCGCCGTCTCCACCACTCTCTATTGCTTCCCATCAGAAAATCACCGGCAATTTTTGTCATCTTTGCACTGTTTGTTTTGCATATATATATATATATATATATATATATTTTGAGACAGAGCCTCAAGCTATACCCCTGGGTAGAGTGCTGTGGCTTCACAGCTCACAGCAACCTCCAACTCCTGGGCTCAAGCGAGTCTCCTGCCTCAGCCTCCCAAGTAGCTGGGACCACAGGCACCCACCACAATGCCTGGCTATTTTTTGGTTGCAGCCGTCATTGTTGTTTTGGCGGGCCCGGGCTGGATTCGAACCTGCCAGCTTAGGTGTACGTGGCTGGCACCTTAGCCACTTGAGCCACAGGTGCCGAGCCTGTTTTGCTTATACTACAGAAGGAGATCTCTCCATCTAGAGTGGGAAACAATAAATAAGCAAAGAGGACCCCAGGTTTTAAGATAAAATATGTCTTATCCCAGCTGGTTTCATTTATTTACTTTACCTTCCTAGCCTCTGTGGTCTGAGTCACCTACAAACAGAGTCTGGGCAAATGAAATGTCAAGATGGGGTGCTGATGGGGTGTTAGTTTCCTAGTAAGAAATGTTAGACTTTGTGATGCTTGAACACACTTGTGAGACACACTCACTTATGGTTAGGCAGGGCACAGCCTGTTAACTGATCAGATGATGGGATTCTTAATCTGCCACATGGATCTGCACCCATGTTTGCTAATTGTTATCTCCACTGTGTAATTGTTTGCTAATTGTTAACTCCTTGGGATGTAGTTATTCACAGGGACAAGGACCCTAATGGATGGACTGGTATAGAATCGATTGCTTGTTCTGCCCTGTGGTGGGTCCCTTGTAGTAGGAGGGGTCTATCTAGGACAGAGAATTGAGGCAGTTGTTTCAGACTCTGGGCTTTGGTGGGAGCAGAGGAAGGCTGGGGCCTCTATTAATGGCAACAACACAGTGACTGAGGATCTGCCAGTCGGGCTTTAAAAGGACTCTAGGTTCCCAGGCATGTAATCAACTCATCACACATGCTGACCAAAGGATTTCTTGTGACTTCAGGTTGTCCTAGCTCTTCCCATATATTCATTTTAACCTGATTTTACCCATTGAATAAACCTATTGAATATGAGTTGGGTAGGGGAAGAAGGAAATAAGTACATAATATGATCCGGCCCAGATGCCCTGGCATAGCAGGAGACAGGCAGGGAGAGAAGGAGGGCGGTGTGCTGGCAGAAGGGCTTACCTGTGCCCCTGGGCTGTAGCAGTGATAGTAGCCCCCGATGGCATCTGCAAGGTTCTTCAGGACAGCCTGTGGGCACGGTGGCAGGGTCAGCCCTCCCAGGGAAACACCAGCACTCTAACAAGCTGCCTCTTTGACTCAACCTCCTAACTACACAATGCTTCCCATTTTACCAAAGGGAGAACTAAGCTAGGGTGCCCAGATTTTAACATCGGTAAGGCGGGACAACATGGGGGGGAGTGTGGGGGCGGGGCGGGGCCAGGGTAGGGCAGGGTCTGACAACAATGCAAACTTTGATAAGCAGTTCTCAAGAATCACTTCTCAGCAATTATTTGTTATTATTACAGTTTAACATTATAAAATTAACAAAAATAATATAAAACTCATATTCTGGTGAAATAGCCACATGGCAGCCGAAAACCGTATATTCCCTTCTTGTTCTCCCGCCCGTTTGTGCATTCTTTCCAAAAATCAGGACTTTTTAAAAAATTGTTGAAAAGCGGGACATCTGGTCACCCTAAACTAAGCCCAAGGGAAAGCCTGTGCTGGTCCATGGCTGGGGGGTCTGTCCAGGCAGTGAGCCTTGCAGGCCTTTCCAGCTCATTGCTGTTAATCCCAGGAACTCTTGGGAGGATCTCAGGTACTTACAGGGGGTAACTGATCACTGCATTTGTAGGTGATGATGTGGGTGATGAGTTCCCTTCCCAAGCTGGCCTGCTGGATATAGTCACACAGCATTTCGGAAGGCTGATCTGGGCTGGGGAGAAGACAAAAGAAGACAAGTGGGCACCCTAGGTCAAACCATTCTGAGACCATTCCAGAGCAAATTGGTAGTTCTCAGGGAAACTCTACCCATTCTTAACTGACCACCTGTGCCCCTAGTCCCCTGTGTGGGATGCAGGGCTGGCTGGGGGGACACAGGTCTGGCCAGCCTTGGCCACCCTGCCCTACCTGTGGGTGGGCAGCCCGTGAACACCATCCTTCTCTCAAGCACATGGAAAGAGTCACACTCCAGGATTATCTATGTCTCAAACAGTGGTTGGGTTTTTCCACACCCTGCTTAGGAAAGGAGACCTACCAGCGTCCCATTATGGCCACCAGGTAATTCAACTCCTTTAGAGTGAAGATTTTCTTCAGGGCTTGCAGCAAATTGCTGCCTCCATCGGATTGCAATGTCTTTACCCAGAGCTTGAGTTCCTGGAGCCTGGGGTGGGAGTGGGGGGATGACAATTTGCTCTTATTAGGTGCCAGGACCAGGACAAATATTAGCTCATTTAAGTCTAACAATAACACATTGAGATGGTAGTTTTATTCTCACTTTGTAGATGAGGACGTTGAGGCTCAGAGTTAAGGAACTGCTATGTGAGGTTCTGGGACTAAGTTCCTTCTTCTCCTAACTCCACACCCAACTCTCCTGGGAGCCAGGCCTCAGCATAAGGCCAGAGTTAATCCCCCAACCCTAAGAGGACTCTAAGAGACGGCACCATGGCTGTGTGGCCATGTCCCACATGGTTTGGGACACACAATACTGTAACATGGAAAAGGATTTAACCTGGTAGTTTTTTGTAGTCGGTTTTTTTTTGGCCAGGGCTGGGTTTGAACCTGCCACCTCTGGTATATGGGGCTAGCACCCTACTCCTTTGAGCCTCAGGCACTGCTCACCTGGTAGTTTTTTGGTTAATAGATCTCATGGCACGAGTGAAAGAGTTCTCCTCTTTCTATTTCAAAAAGTCAAAATTCTCAAAAAGAAAGTTGCAGTTCACTGTTAATAAGTCTGTCTTTTCTTATCATAAATCTCCTTTTTGAACAGAGAGACCAAGTCCCAGCCTTCTCTAGCCAATAGATTTCAGGATAGAATTCTTGTTTTTTTTTTTAATTTTTTTTATTTTTGAAACAGTCTCACTCTGTCAACTGGGCTAAAGTGCTGTGGCATCGTTATAGCTCACAGCAACTTCAAACTCCTGGGTTCAAGTGATCCTCTTGTCTCAGCCTCCTGAGTACCTGGCAGTACAGGTGCCCACCACAATACCTGTCTATTTTTTCCTATTTTTAGTAGAAATGAAGTCTTGCTCTTGCTCAGGCTGGTCTTGAACTCCTGAGCTCAAGCAATCCTACCACTCATTTGTTTTGCAAATGAGAGAGAGAAAGGACTAGTCAAGATCCCCCAGGTACTGTCAGAGCTTGGATTCAAAGCCAGAGAGGCCAGAAATGAGGCATTTCTCTACCTAGAAGTGGCCACTTTACATCTAGTACTGGGCTGGGGCCTCCCTCCCAGGAATCTAAGCAGTGGTTCTTCTGGGGATCTGGAATCCAATCCTGGCTCTGCCACTTTGGGCATCTTCCCTAACTGGAGTTTCCTCATCTGCAAAGTGAAAAGAATAATCCTATAAATATTAAATATAATATTTATAGGGGGTGGCTATAAATATTAAATATAATCATACATGTGAAGTGTCTGGCATGGAACCTGACACATGGTGGGTGACCAAGGGTATCCCCTTTGCTGAAAGAAATTTTTACTTACTGGCATAAGGAAGTAGAAATTCTTAAACATCTTTCTTCCGTCCCTCAAAAAAGCCCCACACTACAATAGAAACCCCCAAATAAAGGACATTTATGCTGTGGAATACAATGTAGCCATTAAAAATAAAACAAATGATTAAACATTAAAACAAATACAGCTTTACGCTGTATGCACTACCATAGGAGGATATTTAAGGTTAGGTAAAAAGCCAAGGTGCAGACCCACGTTAAGAACTCCCAATTGTTTAATAAGAGGATAAACAGGTAGATGAATCTGTGTGCAAAGACTGCTTGTGGAAGAATACAAGAAACTGTTACTGGAGATGAGAAGAGGTCTGGAGTGACAGGGAAACTTGTTTGTTATTACTTATTCTCTCTCTCTCTCTTTTTTTTTTTCTAAGAGACAGAGTCTCACTTTATCACCTCAGTAGAGTGCTGTGGCGTCACAGCTCATGGCAACCTCCAACTCCTGGGCTTAGGTGATTCTCTTGCCTCAGCCTCCTGAGTAGTGGGATTCCAGGCACCCACCACAACACCTGGCTATTTTTTGTTGCAGTTTGGCTGGGGCTGGGTTTGAACCTGGCCATCCTCGATATATGGGGCCAGTGCCCTGCCCACTGAGCCACAGGTGCCCCCCCATTACTTATTCTTTTACACTGTTGGTTTTTTGTTTTTTGGTTTTTTTTTTGAGACAGAGTCTCACTTTGTCACCCTTGGTAGAGTGCCATGGCATCATAGCTCACAGCAACCTCAAACTCTTGGGCTCAAATGATCTTCTTGCCTCAGCCTCCCAAGTGGCTGGGACTATAGGTGCCTACCACAGCACCCAGCATTTTTTTTTGAGATGGGGGGGTCTCACTCTTGCTCAGGCCGGTCTTGAACTCCTGAGCTCAAGCAATCCACCCACGCTGAGAATCCAGAGTGCTAGGATTACAGGCGTGAGCCACTTCTCCCAGCCTTGAGATTTTTTAAGTATGTGCGTTATTTTCACAATAATATAACTATTTTTGTTAGTTTGCTGGCTAAAAATGGTATCTTGTAGGTGTTTGGTTTTCATTTTGTAGACTACTCAGAAGAGAGAACATCTTTCCAAAAGTTTTTGGCCACTGTGTTTCTGTTTTTGTGAATCGTCCCTTTGCACTCACTTTGCTCTTGAGGTCTTGGGGTTTTCACCTTAATTATTTAATTATGACACTGATGCGTAAGGAGGAAAATGAACAAGCAAATACCCTAGTGGAGGCTGGGTAGCCACTCACGTGGAGGTGTTGACTTCCACAGGGTCCGGCCAGAGGGCCTGGGTTGTGATGCCAAAGGACAGGACAAACAGCTTCTCCTTGTGGCTCAGCTGCTCATCAATGAGGCTCTGTTGGACAAAAGGACAACACTGGCTCCATCACAGAACTAGAGGCACATGGAGTCTGGTTTCAGTTCTAGAGCCTTGCTGGCCCCTCTGGGCTGGGGCATGAGCTGTGCTGAAACAGGGCAGCTTGAGGCTCAGCTTAGAGGCCCTACACTGGCATCAGCTTCCTGCCCGCTGGGCCTCAGGTGTGAGGGGGTGGGCATCTTGGCTGCTCTTCTCAGCATGTGCTATGGCTGGACCTTTAGTGCTTAATTGTGGCACCCAGGGAGGGAAGACAGAGGTCAGGGGCAGTGGTTTCTCTCCAAGGCAAGTGAGTCAGGGATGGAGCAATAGGCTTGATGCCAGCTTGGTCAATGCTCTAGAGCTGTATTTGATGAGTATCTAACAGGAACTTGAACTCTGAAGAAACCAGAACAGCTGCTCCATCCAGAAAAGGCCAGAAGCCCTTTGCTTCTGCTCCACTGTGCTAAAGTCGGCCTCCCTCCAGGGAATGGTGGGCTCTTGAGGGAAAGTGTCTGGTTGGGAGGCGCAGGTGACAATATTAGAAGTTCATACTGTCACAGAAAAGGACTCTGTGGCTGGTTTTCTGAGAATGCAACACATTTCTTTAAACAGAGGCACTAATTAAGTGTGAACTGTTCTTTACAAAACACCCTGTTTTGCAGGTTAGCAGGCTAAGGAAAGGAAGGATGATGGGGTGGATCCACTGCTTTTCTGTGCCAGAGACTTACCATGAAGTCATTCTGGAACTCCTCTTTCTGAGGGCCACTGCTGACAGCTGATACATCAATGAGGATGCCAACTCTGGTCCCCTTGATGAGGCCAAATGTCTAAAACCAAGGAGGGCATTCGGGAACAACCAGCATAACACCGTGTTTCCCCTAAGCCTGATGCAAAAAGAAACTGATGGGATCCCCATTTGTAGGGGAAAAAGCAAAACCCAGTGTCCTGGCCTCATGGTCCTACTTTGAAGCAGCCTGTTCCTTTAAACATTTTTTTCCTCAATAATCACTGCCCACTTTTTTTTTTCTTCTGAGACAGAGTCTCACTTTGTCGCCCTTAGTAGAGTACCATGGCGTCACAGCTCACAGCAACCTCCACCTCTTGGGATTAGGCGATTTGCTTGCCTCAGCCTCCCGAATAGCTTAGACTACAAGTGCCTGCCACAATGCCTGGTTGTTTTTGTTGCAGTTGTCACTGCTGTTTTAGCTGGGGTCGGGTTTGAACCCGCCACTCTCAGTATATGGGACTGGCACCTTACCCACTGAGCCACAGGTGTTGCCCCACAGTCCACTTTTATAAAGTAAGACATATTTTTTTTTTTTTGAGACAGAGCCTCAAGCTATCCCCCTGGGTAGAGTGCCGTAGCATCACAGCTCACAGCAACCTCCAGCTCCTGGGCTCAAGCGAGTCTCTTGCCTCTGCCTCCCAAGTAGCTGGGACCACAGGAGCCTGCCACAACGCCCAGCTATTTTTTGGTTGCAGCCGTCATTGTTGTTTGGCGGGCCCCGGCTGGATTTGAACCCGCCACCTTAGGTGTATGTGGCTGGCACTTTAGCCACTTGAGCCACAGGCGCCGAGCCAAGACATACTTATTTTAGAAAATCTGGACACTATAAAAGAAGTACACTTTGTTTGAAGATATAAAGTTTGATAGCTAATTAAGTCAGTTTATCTTATTTAATTCCTATATACTCTTACTTTTTTTTGCCCTCTCTACCAATCAAAGGCAGATGTGTTAAGAGCAATAGCTGCAGTGGTATTTCTGTGACTTTCTGATTATTTTTTTAACAGCTATCACTAACAGTTATGCTCTTCTGCATATGACCAGGTTATGTCCTGATAAACCCACAACAGGTTGAAAGTATTTTAAGTCAAAAACCCATGTGATACCCTGACAAACACATCCTACAGTTGAAAAATCTTAAGTCGAACCATCCTAAGTCGGGGACCATCTGTGTACATGTCGATGCTGTTTGATTCTGCACATAAGCGTCCCTCCTCTTAACAGCTGTATCATGAACTGAAACTTCCATTCACGTGAACTTGATCGCTCTCTAGGGGCAGCAGATTCCATCTGGCGCTTTTTACCTTAAATCCTACTTTATTGGATACTTAATTTTCCTGTTCAATTCACTCTTCTGCTCTCAGAGATGAGTATTTTACCTCTCACATCTCCAACATTCCCTTTCCTCACTCTCCCATCAAATCATTTTGCCTCCAATTTCACTAAGAAAACAGAAACAAACTGGAAAGTATTAAAAAAAATTTTTTCCATGCAGAATCTGCCAACCTACCTGCCTCTAAGCCCCCCACACTTCACCTTTCCCAGTTATAACACATCTTAGGCAACCAGCAACAGCCCAAGGCCGACCCTTTCACTTGCATCACTGGATCCTCTCATCTCCGGTAACCATCCCTTCCCCTGGATCATCAGATTCTCCCTGCCTGTTGTATAATTTCCATCACCATATGTAGGGACTATCATAGTGCCCCTATTAAAAAAGAAAGAAACCTCTAGGAACCCACCTCTGCGTCCTGCTGCTGCTTTATTTTTCTACTTTCAATTTTAGCAACACATCCTCACTCCCATTTCTCTGTGACTCACTCAAATTAGGCTCTCATGTCCCCACTCCTCTGAAGCCACATTCATCAAGGTGACTAATGACCTTCCTCTTGCCAAGGCCAATGGCCAAAGGCCAAAGCCCAAATCCTCAACTTTCTTGAACTTTGATTGCACCGTAATGCCTGCCTAATTTTTCTACTTATTTATTTATTATTTTATTATTATTATTATTTTTTTTTTAGTAGAGACAGGGTCTCACTCTTGCTCAGGCTGGAAGTTAAAATTTAGAGAGAGTTCTTTTCCTTTTAAAATTGAAAACAGCTGCCATTAGAGCTTTGGCACTTTTGTAATTGTGAAAACATGGATTCCATAAACCTAGCCATCAAAAGTGTAGACATTTATTGCATAGAAATAATGAGACAGGTACATAAGAGGGAGTCGGAGCCCAGGGATACCAGAGATTTTCATCATTTGAGAGAAGTCTGAAAGTAAACATAAACATGAAATACCAAGATTTTAAAATGAAACTGAAAAATATTTAAAACTATGAGGCCCAGAAACATATGACTGTGGGCCAGATTCTCCCTGTGTCCCACTGGTTTATAATCCTTGGGCTTGTCCTCCACAGATACAGACCCAGAGAAGTGAGGCCGCTTGCCTGTGGCATTCTAGAGAGAGCAGAGGGGAACTGGGACCAGTCACAGTCTATCTGTCGCCCCAAGCTGCCTCAGCAGTCCAGCAGCCTTGTGAGTTGATTTACAGGTGATTATATTCCCTGGATCCAGTGTGGGCCCTTTTCTGGCCCTTCTCTATAGCTCCATCAGAAAGGGGAAGGGAGAGGAAGGCTTGTTGATCCCTGCCCACAATGCTGAAGGAGCCAGGACAGGCGTGATGGGGGATGGAGGTGGGTAGGTGATAGCAACATTCCCTGAATGGATGTGTTTGGAGCAAGTGAGGATTCCACCCGCAGGTCTTCTCAGCCTGTTACCATGGGCAACCAGAGGGGGTGCACCAGAGCTGGAGACAGCATTGGTTGACTAGTCCAAACCTGTGAAGGTGGTCTGGAATTGGCAAGGGACAGGGGAGAGGCAGCCTTAGCACTATGTTGTCACCTACTAGACCTGGGTGAGGATGGGAGTTGGGAAGCATGAATTTCAGCATCTGCCTGAACTCTTGTTTAAAACAAGAGTTGAGGGTGGTGCCTGTGGCACAGTGGGTAGGGCACCGGCCCCATATACTGAGGGTGGCAGGTTTGAACCTGGCCCCGGCCAAACTGTAACAAAAAATAGCCAAGGGTGGGCGGTGCCTGTGGCTCAAAGGAGTAGGGAGCTGGCCCCATATGCTGAAGGTGGCGGGTTCAAACCCAGCCCTGGCCAAAAACTGCAAAAAAATAAAAAAATAAAAATAAAAAATAGCCAGAGGTTGTGGCGGGTACCTATAGTCCCAGCTACTCAGGAGGCTGAGGCAAAAGAATCACCTAAGCCCAGGAGTTAGAGGTTGCTGTGAGCTGGGACACCATGGCACTCTACTGAGGGCGATAAAGTGAGACTCTGTCTCTAAAAGAAATAAAAAGAGTTGAGGATGTGTGCCTAAGAGTGTAAGCAAATGGGAAGCCAGAAAAGTATCACTTGGAGGAAATTAAGCTAAAACAAATAAGAACATGAAGCAAAGGATGATACACTCATGATCATTCTTCTACTCTGGGGGTCTGAGGAGAACATTTAGCCAATTTTTTTTTTAAAGTTATATCCAGATAATCAGCCTTAGCCTTATAAATCTCATTACAGGTCTAAGGTTCAATGGTCTGGTTCTCATCTGCCCACCATCCTTGTCCCCCCCATCCCTCCTCACCTGCTCTGGGTAATAGCACTCTGACTTTCCATGTGCAACCACTTGTCTCCTTTTCTTAGCCCATGAGGTTTTTTGGGTGGACTTACCTAATCATGCCCACTTCCCCCACCCCCTGCTTTCTCCCAGGAGTAAGCAGTCATTCCAGGCCCAGATAGTTAGTATATTTCATTCCCTTGGCTGCGGTGATGGATATAAATTACTAACTGGGAGTCAATCCCAGGAATTGAGAGGATGTACAGAGAATAGGAGATGAGGTCCCTTTTGACTTGAGTGGTCTAGCTGGTGACACGTAAACTCAGAGCTGTTGAGTTTATAAACTCTTGAGCTGTCTACATCTTCCCATGTAGATCCAAGAATAAAACCAACCCAGAAGAAAGCAGATCCTAGGAACAAAGAGATGCTATTATTTGAGCACCTAGATGCAGCTGTGTCTGGGTTTTTCATTTATGCAGGTTAAGAAATTTCTTTTTTACCTTAAGCTGATTCGCATAATTTAAGTTGAAGGCTTATCGTTTGCAACGGAAAAAATTCTACTAAGTGCCAGAAGGACTGCAAACAGAGCAAAGAAGAAAATCAATGTCTGTTACCTTCTTGCTGTTTTCTGTGAGCCACTGAATTCTCTGTTGATATTGTTCAATAGCTCTGTCAAAACACCAGAAAGACTTGTTACCCAAGGCTCAGCGCCTGTAGCTCAAGTGGCTAAGGCACCAGCCACATACACCAGAGCTGATGGGTTCAAATCCAGTCCAGGTCTGCTAAACAAAAATGACAACTACAACAATAACAAAAAAATAGCTGGGCATTGTGGCAGGCACCTGTAGTCCCAGCTACTTGGGAGGCTGAGGCAGGAAACTCGCTTGAGCCCAGGTCTTGGAGGTTGCTGTGAGCTATGATGCCACAGCACTCTACCCAGGGTGACAACTTGAGGCTCTGTCTCAGAAAAAAAAAAAAAAAAAGACTCATCACCCAAGGTCAACTTCATCACCGAGCAACATCCACACATGGAAGGAGGTGGGAATGTTTTTTTGTTTGTCTGTTTGTTTGTTTTTAATGTGTCTATGGTCTTGGGGAATATAAAGCAAAGACAAAACTGAAGACATTATTAGATTGCCACGGCACCAGATAAAACACCCAGGGAATCTTGAAAGGGGCTGAGTGCATAGATGCTGCTCTGGTGGTGATGCAGCGCACATGATAAAAATGACCAATGTTTGGCAGAACCAGGGGAGAGCTGCCATGTGGGGGTGGGTCTGGGGGATGGGGAAGTGTGTTCTCCCGAGGAAGGTGGAAGAACATCCTGCCCTTGTGCTTGCTCAATTCTGTGTCTTCTTAGGTCAAACTCTTCCTAGTCTCCTGCAGACTAACCATAAGGACACAACAGAGGCAATTTAGCAGCAGTTTCTTGCTGGATTAATTAACAACAACAAAAAAAGTTAAGTTCTGTAAAGTAGCTAGGGGAACTTTCTGACCTTCCCTTATTGCAAACCATTCCAATGACTGGTTAGAGACCAGCACCTACTAGGCATGTAAAATAAGGACTCAGTCACTTGAATTTCATTGACTGGCCTTCACTGAAGACAGGGGGGATTTGGGGGCCTAAAGAAGGGGAAGGAAGGCCTTTGGATAAGGAATCATGGGGCAATGGGTAGTGGGTAGAGTCAGGAAAGATACATGAGTACAAATAAAACTAAGAAAAAAACTTTATGCTGAGATATGTTTGGGTTCAAGATCCACTCTGTTGCTTATCAGTGGCATGACTTGGGTGGGGGTGGTAACCTCTCTGAACCCCAGTTTCATCATCTCTAACACGAAGATAATAATAGAACTCTGTCCATCTGAATTTGCCAAAAGTCAATTTACTGAAAGCCAGTTCCCTGAAAAATCAATTTGCCAAATGACCAATTAGCTAAATAGACTTCCTTAAAATGCTGGATTTGCAATTAAAACTAATCAACCAAAATATTACAGAATTCTTTAAGACCTGTTTAATTTTCCAACCTAATAAGAATTACTATAAAATTTACGGTTAAAAGGTTTTGACAAATTTGGCAAATGAGTCATTCTGTGAATGGCCATTTAGCAATTGACTTTTGGTTAACTGGCTTGAGAATAATGCAATGTTTTGAGTTGTTGTAAGGATTTAAAAAACCCAATGCATCCAGCCCTTAGCAGAATCTCTGACACATTATTAAATGTTAGGTATTATTATTACAACTTTTTAAGAATCATAGATCATGACAGTAATCATGAATCATAGATTATAGCTAGGATCACATCTTAAGAACTATCCTGTTTATCAGGTAGTTTATTTATCAATAGATGTGTTGGTGTGTATGTGTGTACATATTTGCATGTATACGTGTGCTACTAAAATTGGTTTAGGAGTAGAGTTCATGCGTATTTTGACATACAAAGCAATGAACCCAACCAAATTTGACATTGGAGGCAGTCATTCTTTTTTTTTTTTTTTTTGAGACAGAGCCTCAGGCTGTCACCCTGGGTAAAGTACTGTGGCATCACAGCGCACAGCAATCTCCAACTCCTGGACTCAAGTGATTCTCCTGCCTCCGCCTCCCAAGCGCCTGGGACTACAGGCACCTGCCACAATGCCTGGCTATTTTTTGGTTGCAGCCATCATTGTTGTTTGGCGGGCCCAGGCTGGATTCAAACCCGCCAGCTCAGGTGTATGTGGCCGGTGCCTTAGCCATTTGAGCCACAGTACCAAGCTGGAAGCAGTCATTCTTAACCTTCAAACATCAGATGAAGCCAGGTTTTAGGTATTCGTCCAAAGGGGCCATGGATTTCTAAAGGCTGCAGACACTGATCTGATCTAACCCTTTCTTTCTTTCTTTCTTTCTTTCTTTCTTTCTTTCTTTCTTTCTTTCTTTCTTTCTTTCTTTCTTTCAGACAGAGTCTCAAGTGCTCTCCCTGGGTAGAGGGCTGTGGTGTCATAGCTCCCTCACAGCAACCTCTAACTTGGGCTAAAGCGATCCTCTTGCCTCAGTTTTTCTATTTTTAGTAGAGACAGGATCTTGCTTTTGCTCAGGCTGGTCTCAAACTTGTCAGCTCAAGCAATCCACCCACTTTGGCCTCCTACAGATCTAGGATTACAGGCATGACCCACCATGCTCTGCCTTGATCCAACCTTTTTATTTTAGAAAAGAGGAAACTGGGGTTAGAAGCAGGAAGAGACCTGTCCAAGGTCCTGCAGAGACTGTTGTCCCAACAGAGTTACTTTCAGGCTGCTGAAATGAGATCATTCTCAAGCTGGGGGGGATGTTGGGAGGACATTGACAAACATACTTACTCCAAAAGCTTTGATTCAAAGTGGTGGATGATCTGGGTGGAGAAATGCATTTGCTGTACGGCATTGGTGCCCTCCTCCCTGAAGAAGCAGAGCATAAAATAAGAGGGGGCTGTTGAGGCCCAGTGGGCTGTGTGTGTCACTGCAGGCTGGGGGTGGGGGAGGCAAGGGGAATGGCTTGGGACTTACGGTACCACTGTGCCCTGACTTATCAGGTCAGCCAAGGTGAGTTTCTCAAACTTTAAACTGTGAGTTGAAAGCCAATCTTCAGAGTCCTCCCAGGCTGAAGACGGGGTTTCACTTGTCAGTAGCCTCTACAAGACAAGAGCCAGAGGCAAACAGAACACTGTGGAAAGAGAGGGCCCTTGGTTCTCTCCTCATAGATCCCCAAGGGATTCTGAAGGATCTCCACTTCTGACTGATCTGTCTTAAAGCAGTCTAACAGCTTGCCTTGCTGAGGGAACAGGTGAATGTGTAGGCCTGTGGTCCAGGCCAGTCTCCCCTCATTATTCTTGACCTCTCACCTCATCCCCAAGATGTGACTAGACAATTCAAGGATCACTTGCCATTCCTGCCTTGTATAACTGAATATACAAACATACACTGGCCAGACAATATGACAACAGAGCTCTGACCCACAGCTGCTGCAGCAATTGGCCCAGAATGGTCAGGGTAAATGACTGCCAGCTTCCCTATGTTTTATTCCTACTTCCAATTCAGAACTAGCTGGTGGAAGCTCAATATGCCCCCAATTCAATCACATCAGATGCCCCACTTCTAATGAGCCTGCCTGCAGTCTCTCTGTGCCAATGACTTCCAACCAGGGCATGCCTAAAGCTTTCCATTTTTTCCATGACACAACTTTTCCACTCCCTTGCATGCCTTTATGCCTCTGTGAAACACAGGGGACTGTGGCTGACTCCCTTGCAATAGCAAGTTCTGAATAAATTGTTTGTTCTCATTTAGGTGGTCTGTCTGTTATTTCTACACTAGTGTTCTCTGAATCTTATTGGGTGCATGAGTTCTGCCTTTTGTCAGGCTTAGCCTCTCTAAGGGGTCCTCAACAAATGTTTGTTGACTAACTGGTAGAGGAGGGAGTGAGTTTATTCTGTCCATTCTAGAGGTCAGAACTGGGAGCATCAGGTGGATGTTACAGAGAAAGAATTTCCCAGCCATCACAGGAGTCTGGCTGTGAAATAAACTATACTCTCTTGCTTGTACCAAGTGACATCTGTGTCAGCTACGTGTTGCTAAGCTCAGGATGTGGGCTTAGTGGTAAAGCTCATGTCATTCATGGCAAGCATTCAATACCAGCAATGTTTACTTGAAGCCAGAGGTGGAGAGCCCTGGAAGCCTGATTGGAGGCTCGGAATCTGCTTCACGTTGTTCACCTCTCTGGAGTTTGGCATTTCTTCCATTTCCAGCAGGTATTTCTGCACTCTTAACTATTAACTAGGCACTGTTCCCGGTGCTAGGCTACCCTATGTTCTTCCCTTCTTGGAGCTTATATTCTAGTGTGAATAGATGGATAGTGAACACAAAATGAAATCAACATACATAACAATTTTTGAAAGAGATAGTTCTATTAAGAAAGTAGAACAAGGACTTGGTGCCTGTAGCTCAGCAACTAGGGTGCCAGCCACATACACTGGAGCTGGCAGGTTCGAATCCAGCCCGGGCCTGCCAAACAATGACAACTACAACCAAAAAAATAGCCAGGTGTGTGGCTAGTGCCTGTAGTCCCAGCTACTTGGGAGACTGAGGCAAGAGAATCGCTTAAGCCCAAGAGTTGGAGGTTGCTGTGAGCTGTGACACCACCGCACTCTACTGGGGGTGACAAAGTGGACTCTGTCTCAAAAAAAAAAAAGAAAGAAAGAAAGAAAAGAAAAGAAAAGAAAATAGAACAGAGTGAAAAGACAAGCAAAACAAAATCTGTCTCAAACCAAAAACGAACAAACAAACAAACAAACAGAGCAGGGAATTGTGATAGTAAATTACTAGGGTGGAGAGATGAGGCGGCCACTTCCCCACTTCCGAGAGGGGTGGAAGTCAGAATAGGCCTATCTGAGCTGAGACCTGAAGGATGAGGGGCCAGCCCCGTGCCTCTATGGGGAACATGTTCCAGGCAGGTGTGTAGACAGGGGGAGGAGGGGGGCCGGGGGAAGGGTGGGAGTGTTGAAAGATGGCGAAAGCTGTGGTTGGATTGTAGTGAATATGGGGTAGCATGATATAAGAAGAGGATAGAAAGGTGTACAATGCCTGAATCAGGCAGAAATTCTGCAAGAATTTCCAGTACAACTGCATGTGGAATAGATGGGTTTCAGATGTTGCCCCAGTTGGCCATGACTCTCTTAGGGTGTGCAATGGCATATTAACAAGATAGAGCTGGGGTACTTTATAGGGGCCTTTTGGTCTCCACCACCAAGCATGAAAATAAAAGAAAAATCTTTGTTGTTGTTCTTTTTGTTTTTTGTTTTGTTTTGTTTTGTTTTGTTTTTTAGACAGAGTTTAACTCAGTCACCCTGGGTATAGTGCTGTGGCATCATAGCTCACAGTAACCTCACATTCTTGAGCTTGAGAGATTCTCTTGTCTCAGCCTCCCAAGTAACTGGGACTATAGGCACCTCCTACAACACCTGGCTAGTTTTTCTATTTTTAGGAGAGGTGGGGTCTCACTCTGCCTTTGGCTAGCCTGGACCTCCTGAGCTCAAGCAATCTGCCCCACCTTGGCCTCAGCCTCCCAGAGTGCTAGGATTACAGGTGTGAGCCACCATAACCAGCAAGAAGTAACGAAAAAATCTTGAGTCCCTTCAAGAGAAATTCCAGGCACTTAGCTAGCCTTAAAAAGTAAATGAGCAACTCAACAAGAGGATAGTAATAACTTAAACAACAATAGTCTCCCAAGCAAATTGAGTCACAAGCTGTTTTGGTTCCCCATAGAAACTAAAAGATAACATCTTAACATACGTTCTTGAATCATTTTTCAGAAAACCGGATTTCTACCAGATGGAAACCGCCAACTACTGTTATATGAACTCAGATAAGAGGGAACTGGGGACTGAACTCTGACCACCATTCTTTGTTCTAAATTTCTTCCTGAGGGGCCTGGACAGAGTCATGTGTGCGGATCATCAGTCTTACTAAACTGACCCAGTTTGTTATGACTTGCTTTTGTGACATGACTCTGGCACATAATGATGATTAACAGGTTTCCTTATCTAAAACAACTTATGTTAACGCTAAACCTTTCTGCTGACCCCAAGTTTTTAGACAAAGCCCTCCTCCCTCAACCAATTACTGATCAAAGAATCTCTGAATCCACCTATGACCTATAAGCTCCTGCTTTAAGATATCCTGCCCTTTTCCCTTTTTTTTGACAAACAAATGTATAACCTCCATTTAAAAAAAATTTTCTTTTTTAAGAGACAAGGCCTCCCTCTGTCACGAAGAGAGTGCAGTAGCACGATCACAACGAATTCTTGGGCTCAAGTGATCCTTCTGCCTCAGTTTCCTGCATAGCTGGAGTACAAGTATGTGCCACCATGCCTAGATACCTTTTAAATTTTTTTTGTAGAGACAGACTATTGCTGAATTGCCCGTGTTGGTCTTGAACTGGGCTCAAGAAATCATCTTGCCTTTCTCTTCTTCTCTGCTCTCTCTCCTCCTTTCTCCTCCTCACTCTCCTCTTCACTCTCTTCTTTTTCCCTCCTCTTTTTTCTCCCCTTTTCTCTTCTCTTTTCTCTCCTCCTTGGTGCTGCTCTGCAGCCTCCCTCCCCCACCAATAAAGACCTTAAAAAAAAAAAGAAAAGAAATCCTCTTGCCTAGGCCTCCCAAAGTGCTGGGACTATGGGCATAAGCCACTGCACTTGGCCCATGAATTGATTTATAGTTTTGCCTATAACTTTAACTTTCCTGAAATGCACCCCTGCCTTAAAAACCCTTACTTGTGAACCACTGGGCAGTTTAGGTCTTAAGGATTAGCTGCCTGTTCTCATCTGGTGCCCTGCGATAAATGCCTTTCTACCTCTCACTGCAAATTTCGCTCTCGGTGTTTGGCTTTGCTGCATTGGGTTAGTGGGCTCAAGTTTGGTTCAATAATAACAAGGGGAGATCAGCTTAATCCCACTGTGGGAGACACCTTCATGGCTGTGAAATGGGCCCAACCACTGTTTAATCTACTGAACCCAAGTCTGGATTCAAAGATGTCTCCTGGGTACCTGCTTGAACCCCAAGTGGGTTTTGTTTAGGGTTGTGTCTGTCATTTTCACAGGTGAGGGGATGAACATGGGGTTGGAAACTGCTGTAGCTGAATGAGCTAGGCTGGATAGGACAGAGGATATGGAGGAGGAACAGGACAGAAAATAGGGTGGAGGAAGAGCAAGACAGAAGAAAGGAGTACAGGGTACTGGGGTTCTCCCCTTACTAGCTTTGTCACACCTAAAGCTGTGACTAAGGTCTTGAGTGTTTCTGCATGAAGAATGATCCTTATTTCCCCCTCATGTTTGGTCATAAATAGAAGGTCACCATAAAACAAAGACAATGAATGTAAAATGCTACCATTATATTCCAGTTAGATACTATTTCATGCCTTAGGTTCTGTGCCTGAGGCCTATTCTCCCCTCTATTTCAATAGAAAATTAGCAAGTTTTAAGGAAGTGTGAAAAACACACTCCTAATTACAGCAAACACTTAAATAGCACTTACAACTCTCAAATCACTTTCTGTAGATTCACTCATTTAATTCTACAAGGTATGGGGTCCATCCTTATAACTCCATTTTTCCAACAAGAAAACTGAGGCACGGAGAATTTAAGGAATTAGCCCAGAGTCATCCAGCTAGTAAGTGGTGGAGCTGGGATGCAAACCCAAGTCACATTTCTAACCATGAGACTAGATTGCCTCTCTAACCTAGCACCAAACTCTGACTTTCTCCATGAAGGACTGAGAGAGAACAGACTGATGGGATTACTTTCTCATTATGTGTTCTGGGCTAACCAATGTTCTGCCCTTGAACAGCGTGTCTTAAAACCCTTAGTCCCTTGTCGCATACTCAGGGAAATGCTGCTCCACATCACATGAACACTAGATGTCACTGTTCTCATCTTTCCGGATGCAACTAGCTCCCTCCCTGGTTGGTAACACAGAGTGTGGTAGATTTTATTATTTATCTATCTTCCATCTTTCTTTCTTTTTTCTTTTTTTTTTTGAGACAGAGCCTCAAGCTGTCACCCTGGGTAGAGTGCCGTGACGTCACAGCTCACAGCAACCTCCAACTCCTGGGCTCAAGCGAGTCTCCTGCTTCAGCCTCCCAAGTAGCTGGGACTATAGGTGCCCGCCACAATGCCGGGCTATTTTTTGGTTGCAGTTGTCATTATTGTTTGGCGGGGCCAGGCTGGATTTGAACCCGTCAGTTCAGGTGTATGTAGCTGGTGCCTTAGCCACTTGAGCCACAGGCACTGAGCTTTCCATCTTTCTTGAATTTGAAATGATCTATCATGTTTTAGGACATGGGTTTTGTGTTACTGGTACTTGAAAAGCCAGTAATAAACACATTATAGAGTGTGTTGCAAGCCATGCTGATTATGTATTAAAGTAGCCCCTTTGCACAGAGGATGGTATGATTTTCATGTCGGTTGGAGACTCTCCCTCTTTCCCCTGGGTTTTCATTTGTGAGGCAAGGGGGCCCCAGCTGTGGCTGATAAATGTAAGATGGTCTTTTATACACCTGGAAAGTCACACATTGTGGTATAAAATTAGATGAAATAAAGACCCATGTCATCATCATCTGAAGTCCTTGAGAAATTTCTTCAGAATCTCAAGACTCTATCGACCTTTCCTCATTTCCCTTTAATTAAACTTGCTTTCCTATAAGTGCCAAAACTTGAGAAAAGTAAAACCTGAGAATGTTTCTGATTGTTTAATTGCCAGCATTATAACTGTACTGTTGGCTAGGCGCCTGCAGCTCAATAGTTAGGGTGCTGGCCACATGCTCCGGGGCGGGTAGATTCAAACCCATCCTGGGCCTGGTAAACAACAACAACAACAACAACAAAAACAGCTGGGCATTGTGGCGGGCACCTATAGTCCCAGCTACTAGGGAAGCCGAGGCAAGAGAATTGCTTGAGCCCAAGAGTTTGAGATTGCTATGAGCTATGATACCATGGCACTCTACTGAGGGCGACAAGTGAGACTCTGTCTCAACAACAACAACAACAACAAAACTGTATTGTTTTTGACTGATTATCATTTCAAAGGTGTCATATTTAAACTCTAGGGTAGATTAGGTAGCTGGTTGTGAGCTCACCTTGTGCTTGACAACTGATGAAGTCTGAGTTCCAGATAATCCACTCACTCTCCTGGGAAGGCAGCTCACTGACACACTGAGTCAGCCTAAAACTACAGGTTGAGAACTGCTGTTCTAGAGGCTAATTCTCCTGTCATAACCCTCTTGCTCCAACAGCATGTCCTGAAATGGATTTCTAGGTCTAGATTTTAGAAAATCCCAAAAGAAAAACAAATCTCAGGAAGGGAAATATTAAAATTAAATGCCTCAGACTTCAGGCTTTGATATCATAATCAGAGCATTCACATGCTCCTGATTATTTAGTGATGTGGCCAAAAAGGCTATAAAATTTAAATAAATAGCATAGAGATTCTTCAGTCATTTCTAAAGGCAAGGGATTAGAGGTGAATATTAAATCTTTTCTCAGTCTTAGAGTCCTATGTGAAGAAAAATGTACCCAGAGTTTAGGACATTCTGCATTCCCTGGCTATAATTTATAAGCATCACTACACAGTTAAAGCACTATGGTTTTTACCAGCAGGTCCTGTGTCTGGTTAACATGTGTAACCAGTAATCCATTGTCTGAATTTTGACCAAGTCCATGCATATCTTTCCGGTTCAGTTGCTTCTTGGGATTTCTCTCAGTGATTCTCCTCGTGCTACAAAACATAAAGTGGTGTGATCAATGCTCCAGCCTGGACACTGGCTCCACAATCTTCCTCTCTTTCCCCAAAAGGCTTCCAGAAATATTTTTCTATGCTGTAACTAAGAAGAGTTCCTGTAGAGTCCCAATAAAATGTGGACTTCAGATTCATGAGATATTTTATTATATTGTTCTGGTAATTAGATAACTAAAACCCTCAGGTAGATTAAAAAAGGATGTAATGACCATTTACTCAATCTCACTTCAAGGCAGATAATTTCCCCCCTAGCTCCCAAGAGCAAAATGTTGCTGCTGTTTTCATTTGAAAAAGATTTGCTTACCAGTGATTTTCCAGAGATGTATTATCTTGAGCATAGAAGACATGACTAGTTTGTGTGGCCATTACAGAAACACCGAACACTTATGTTTCTAGGGAGGAAGAGAATCCCAGAAGAAAAGATGAAATGCAGCATCCAGGCAAGGGCTTTGGGGTGTGTTTATGTTCAGATCAATTCTTCTTTCATTAATTCATTCGATACATATTTACTGGACACCTACTAGATATCAGACATTGTGCTTGGTGCTGAGGATATGTGAAAAAAACAACAAGCTTTCTCAACCTGGGCACCTATGACCCTTGGACCAGATAATTCTGTGTTGTGGGGGCTGCCTGTGCATTGTAGGATGCTAAACAGCATCCCTGGCCTCTGCCTATTAGGTGCCAGCAGCATCCCTTCCCACCCTGCCCTAGTGTGACAAGCAGAACTGTCTTCAGGCATTGCTGAATATCTCCTGGGGTTAGGGGTGTAAAATTGAGAACAACTAAGATAGAAATTGTCATTGTCTTCATAGGGCTTACATTCTTTAGGGTGGACTCTGATATTAAAAATATTAAATGAAGTAATTACAAATTGTAGAAAATGCTGTAAAGGAAGTGTGCATGATAGAAAGCAGTCAGGAAAGGAGTCTACTTTGCATAGGTAAGAAAGGAGGGTAGGGAGGTGTCATAGGAGCTTAGATTTTCTTTTTTCTTTCTTTTTCTTTTTTGAGATAGAGTCTCACTATGTTACCCTTGGTAGAGTGCCATAGTGTCACAGCTCACAGCAACCTCAAACTCTTGGGCTTATGTGATTGTCTTGCCTCAGCCTCCCAAGTAGCTGGGACTACAGCCCCCCGCCACAATGCCTGGCTATTTTTTGGTTGCAGTTGTTTAGCTGGCCTGGGCCGGGCTCAAACCTGCCAGCCTAGGAGCAGTGGCTGGCGCCGTAAGCTACAGGTGCCAAGCCAGAAGCTTAGATTTTCTTGAAGGATAAAAAGGAGGTGACTACTCTCTCCCAGCTTCCTCCTCTCTCTCTGCTTGCTCCTCCTCTGTCTCATTGGAAGGCTCATCTTTCCTCTTCATGAGCATTGTAAGTTGGTATTCTTTGAAGCTAAACAGTACACATTCTTCTCACTTTCTCCACTCTTCCTAGGCGATCTTACCCCTATTCGTGGCCTCAACTAATATCTATCCTTTGATGACTCCTAGTTGTACAGCAAAAGCTCAGAGTTCCCATTTTGTCTCTAGATTCACTCCCCATATCTAATCCATCACCTAATCTTATTAATTTTACTTCCCTCCAATCACTCTACTCATCTGTCTCTGCTGACGTATCTGTAGCCCAGGCTACTGTCATGTCCGCCATAGATGACCAGTGTAGGCTCCAACTGGCTTCTCTACAACCCATCAGTCCTCCTATCCAGTAATCTTTTCCAAACACAAATGCAATGTTGCACCCTGTTCTTCTCCCTCTTGCTTAAAACCAATCAGGCTTTTCTTTATTTCTGGAGTGAAGACCAAGATCCTTCTGATGGCATTTGAGGCTCCATAAGGTCTGGCTACTGCTCACCTACCTACCTAGAGCTCCCATGACACCCTTGCTCTCCCCTTCTGTGTTCCACAAAGGCCTCCCTTTTTCGGATCCTGAAATGTTATATAGTTCTCTTGACCACAGGGCTTTTCTATGTGCTGCTGTCTTTGCTCTGAAACATTCTTTTCTTTTTCCCACCATACTCATCCTTGACATTTTGCTCAAATGTCACTTCACACAGGAAATCATCTCCAGTATCTTATTCTATTTCAGGTTTTTTTGTTTTATATAGACTTTCACAGAACTGTGCTCCTTTCTTTTAGAGCACTTATGTTAATTTGGAATGAGACATTCATAGTGTGATTTTAAAAAAATTGTGTGTCTCTCCCATTACACCATAAATTACATGAGCACAGCAACTGTCAGGCACTCAATACATATTTTGAGGAGGGGAGGTGAAGGGAAAGGAGGTTGAAAAACTACCTTGATTCTTGAATATCTAAATATTCATCCCAGGCACTTGTGAGAACTGACTTCACTTTCTGCTTTTGTGTTCCATGAGATACCCCATTCCTTATAGGTCCCTACCTTTTTGCTTAAGCTAGCTCATTTAGGTTTCTGTTACTTGCAACCAAAAAAATACTGGTTAAGACACAAGTAAGGATGGGCACTCTGGGAGGCTGAGGCAAGTGAATTGCTTGAGTTCAGGAGTTAGAGACCAGCCTGAGGAAGAACAAGATCCTGTCTCTACTAAAAAAAAAAAAAAAAAAAAAAATAGAGAACATAGCTGGACATTGGCACAGATGCCTGTTGTTCTAGCTACTTAGGAGGCTGAGGCAGGAGGATCACTTGAGCCCAAAAGTCTGAGGTTGCTGTAAGCTAGGCTGATGCCACCCTGGCTTATTTATTTATTTATTTATTTAAGACAGAGCCTCAAGCTGTCACCCGGAGTAGAGTGTGTGGCATCACAGCTCACAACAACTTCCAACTCCTGGGTTTAAGTGATTCTCTTGCCTCAGCCTCCTAAGTAGCTGGGACTACAGGTGCCCGCCACAACACCTGGCTATTTTTTGGTTGTAATTGTCACTGTTGTTTGGTAGGCCTGGGCTGGATTCGAACCTGCTAGCTCTGGTGTATGTGGCTGGCGCTTTTAGCCACTTGAGCTACAGGTGCCAAGCCTACCCTGGCTCTTTAGCCTGGAGCAAGAGAGTGAGACTCTGTCTCAAAAAAAAAAAAAAAAAAAATAACAAGTAAGAAACTCTGAATAAAGTTGTAGCTTAAATATTAGAGTGTGTGTTTTTGTGAAATCATTAAATTAAATAGCCTATTAATGGTTCAACAACTTGCTTTTCTTGTTCAGCCTTTTAATCTTTTATTCAGAGAATGTTTTGTTTTCTGGGAAGCAGCAGTATAGTGTGGTAATGTCTTAAAAAGAAAAACTGGCTTTACTTCAGTTAGCTTTCATGGGAGACTCTAGAGCAGGGATTATTGAAGTAGAAATGCCACATGAACACTGGACACCCTGTAGTGCCTGGGGTCACTCTTTTCAGTGAGTGATTAACAGCTCTTAATGAATTCGGAGGCCTGCAGGACTGGATTCTGGGGTGACCTGTGTGGGCAGATAAAGGAGGGGTTGGCTTGCATAAAACTTACAAAACAATGTGCTATGCTAGAAAAAGCTCTGGGTCTTTGGTTTCTTCATCCGCAGAATAGAATGGGGATAAAACTAACTGCTTTGCCTACTTGAACTTCATGGTCAAGAGGATCAAATGGAATTGAGTAAAATACAAAATACTATAAAAATGTACAATACCATGAAAAGTGTGCTGCATCTTCAAGCACTTCAGCATATGACACGGAGGCCATCATTGTTTCATGAACGTTTAAAGAGTGCCAGAGAGAGCTGGTCCTGGGGAGAGAGGACAGGGCACTGTCCTTACCTTCTGGTCTTGACTCAGATGAAACCTTGTTAGAGAAGGCTTCTTTGAGTAGCATGAGTCAATTAGCACCCCTTCCACTTTGCTTCCCTTTTCGCCACAACACATGTCACCATCTGATGTTTTATATATTTACTTACTTACTGTTGAGGGGGCACAGAAACACACTAGAATATCCATGAGGACAGGGAGTTAGTAATGATCACTGCTAGAACACTTTTGCATAAGACAGTGCCTAGAACATAGTAGCTACTCAAACATTTGTTGAAATAAATGCACTAAGGGCAGGTCCAGAGTTTGGGCAAAGGTGGGCCACATTACTCTCAGGTTAGTAGTTGGAGGAGGGAAGCACAGCAAACCAGTCCACGGCAGACAGCACTTTGGTCAAAAGGAAAGAGGGAGCCTTAATTACTGGATGAAAGAAAACTTTCAGCTAATTGTCTCAATTGATAACAGTTAGATCTAGGATTCTCCTAAATATTCATCCAGAATAAAGCCATTGCCAGGGTTTATACTTTTAACTACAAAATTACCTCTATTCTTGACCCCATCCACTCCATTCCAATCTGTGCTGCCGGAATTTTTCCAGTATGACAATTTGTTCTTACTTCTACCTGGTCAGAAAACCCTGCTGTGGCTCTGCAGTGCCGTAGGATAACCAAGGTGGATCGAGACTTTTCATTCTTTTTTTTTTTTTTTTTTCATTTTTGGCTGGGGTTGGGCTTGAACCCGCCACCCTCAGCATAGGGGGCTGGTGCCCTTGAGCCACTGGTGCCGCCCCAAGCCTTCTCATTCTTTCAGGATGCGTTTCTCATTTACCTTTCCACCCTAAGTCTCACATTTTCTGTTCCCTGGCAACTCCCACTTTACACCACCTTACTACTTCACACCCCCTTTCACTCAGGTTTGACCTCTTTAGTCTGACAAGAAAACTCAGAAGTCTTTCTTGAACCCCATTCAGTGTCCCCATGCCCTCAGGGAGGAAGTTGGTCCCCCATGTTAGTACTCATGTTGCTGCCCCCTCTGTCTCCCCATCAGCTCCACTACTTCCAAGCCTGCTGTGGTACCCCCAGCACCTATTTCAATGCTTGGCATGTAGGGAGCAGATGCTTTAGACTCCAGGCTCCCTCAATCTTCTCACTCAGTCCAGAGCTTAGCGTCTGGGCCTCCCCTGCCCTCTCTCTTGCCACCCCTGTGAACCCTGGTGGCACTCACCCTCGCTCATATTCCTTCATTTATTTCTCCATCTGTAGGAAAAGGGCCTCTGCCACCCCGTGCCCTTGCTTCTCCCAGTTCTCAATTCTAGTTTTCTCCAAGCAACTCAACAGTGAAGCTTGTCCTGCGGGAAGTGTTAGGTTGTCTCCAAGGTAACAGACTGCACCACTGCAGCTTGGGGTAGGGAAAGGGCAAACCTTCCTCACCCCAGGAAGAAGTTACCACTTTGTTGTCAATAACCACCTCTCCCAGGTCACTCTGCTTTTCTCCACCCTCACGAAAGCCTGGAAGCAGTATTCAGAGGTCTTTTCTATTTTCAGAACCTCTCAATTAGCAGAGAACCATGGTTTAGACCAGTAGAGCCCTGGTGTCTGCAGCCTTCCAGCGGCAAGAATTGAGGA